GTTCTTTGTAACGATTGAAAGCTCTAGATATCCTTTGAACCGAATAAACTAGGTCTTAATTTAAGAAACAATAGACGTATTCAACTACGAATTTCACCAAACTCTCTCCTGTACAAAATTATTCCACCTCTAACATTCTCCTTAGACTCGTTGTAATGGATTGAATGTTCTTTATTGTATGTACATACATTAATATTAATTTAGTACAATTGAAAACAATATGTTTTGTAAAGGTAATTTTTAGTAGCAGTAGCTATTGTGATAGAGTTCGTCCAGGAATGTGCTGCCACCTTCCCTATTTCTGCTGCCATTGCGCATTACAGTGAGCTTTGCTTTACTGCGTTCCGGTTTTGAAGGGTAAGATGCTGTTGAAATTACAGGCACATAAGACTTGTCAACTAAAGTCTCAAAGTGACAGCCGCAGTGGCGGTGCCCCTCAGATCTTTACGATTTAGCTAGAAACTCTGAGAGGCACTGCACCTGTTAAGGACAAGCGTGTTGCTTACCACCGGATGCTCAACTTCTTGGTCCTGTCACTTGGTACTCGTATCATAAAAAAAGTACAAAATTGCTAAACAGATTTTTATTTATTTATTCATTTGGAACACCAACAGATTACACAGAAAATATAAGATTAAAAGACAACATTGGTAAGGCACAGTTCTTATGTGTAAGCGAATTACAGGTATCCACATCACTCAATATATACCCAGATACAAAAATAAAAACATAATCCAATTATTCATTAATGTACTAAAATTTAAGTAATTAGTTTAGTTTATAAAATTTAATTAATTAGTAAATAATTGATTATAAGATCGGAATAAATAGTTCATTGATGTAAATAAATTTATAAATAAATAAATAAATATGACAGTGCAATTGTATTAATTAAATATTTTGTGAAAGATAAAAGATATAATAATGAAAATATATTATTAAGCTGTAGGAACACGCAATTTTAATTAAGATATGATAGGACGGCCTTAACTCCTTCCAAACAAACTTAAAACGGCATTTGAAGGTGCAAATAATGACGTATATCCTTGTAAAGTGACCCGTAAAGACATAAATCAGATGAAATTGATCGCTCAGTTAACGAACACATTCCTGCCACTGTGGGGCTACTGTAACTCGATCTTATTAATCTTAGATTAAATCGATTTTTCTTTAGTCCTAATTGACTTAATCGATTCTAATGCATCAATTAAACGTTTATCGTGGTTAAATGACCAAACTGATGAAAGCGGATCGTTAAATGACTAAAAGAAAGCGGGTATAAATCGCGGCTTTTCAAGAATAGCGGTAAATAAATAGTAATATTACACTGTTAAATGCGGAATTGGTAATTTTTATTGCGAGCAAATAACCTGTGGTAAACTGGTTAGAACAATTACGTGACAACAATGAATCAGAATAGCATGCGTCTTTGCATGCCATACACTTTTGATTTTTAAATTATTTGCCTGATTAACTATGGTTTTTGGGTATGGTTTTTTTAGATAAGCGTGATAAGTAGAGAGATAGATGTACCATTGCTCACACGCAAGAACAAAATCGTTACAAAAACAACTTACAACCAATATGCGCAAAGAAGGTCATATCTATAGCAACGAACAATTTCTTCCGAACAACATTTCAACCTATATTATATTATTAATAATAAATAACCGTATTGTGTACCAAAATTTGTAGCTTAATATATAAATATACTTAAATAAACTTACTAGTAAATACACATGTTGCGGACTAGGTTGCTATTTTAAAAAGCCATCGTATTTTTGTTATATATGAGAATGAACACTGAACACGCTTTGTTTTAATACAAAAAATAAGACCCACCAAATAACGCACACACAGAGATAAGGATAAATTATAAGCATGCCTACATAAAAGTATAAAGGTGCCCAACAAACGACGTGTTCCAAAATCTGACTTTTGAGCATGTATAAATGAGTGAGCTTCTTATACATAATCCAATTTCATTTGCGAGTATCTCTGTCCTCGAAAATTTAAAATATCACCCAAATTTCAATACCCATTTTTTTGTTACTTAAATCGAAATTTACTAACGTAATCAATTAAATTTTTATTGAATTGATATTCAATTATTTTTTGTGAAATTACTCCACTAGTTTGTTATAATTATTAATACAAAGATCGAACCCTCAGAAAAAACTACTGCTTACTAACGTAATCGTTTAATTTTTCTGCAGCTATCCCACCAGAGATCAAGGAAGGTCCCGAGGACCTCGTGAAAGTGGAGGGGTCTGAAGCTGTGCTTAAATGCCGCGTGTTTGGAGCGCCCAAGCCCATCGTGAAGTGGATGAGGAATGAGGTTGATGTTACCGGTGGAAAGTGAGTATTATTGCATGTATCTTGTTTAGTTGCTGGCTGTAGACTAGGGTTGTTGCATCCGCATTCATCGATGCTGATATTCATGCGGATGCTTGAGTCGTGACATGACCTGAAAAGCACGCTGGAATAATTTACAAACTTCCTGAAAGAGACTGTAAGCCGAAAAGCAGCTCAGGTGTTGTTATCAAAATATAACATTGCTAAAATTCCAGAACGATTAGGCTACGCACATTGATTGTTTTCATGAAGATAGATTCTTTTTAACTTCAAAAAGAGGAGGAGGTTCTCAATTCGACTGTATATATTTTTTGTATGTATGTTACGCGATAACTCCGGTATTTGTGAACCGATTTTCATGATTCTTTTTTTTGTTGGAAAGGGGGTACCTCCATAGTGGTCCCATTTCGTTTTGAGGAAAATCATCCACCTCTAAGAGTGGCTGTTCACGCATAAAGATTAATTTTTATAGATAGCGCCTACATTTTATTATAAGGAGCAATTATTTTAATGATTGATTTTGCTATTCTCCAATTCAAGGCGTTTTTCTCTCAATATAGTCCCTTATAGTAGCGAACTAGGGGATGAATCCGAGTATGCGCAGTTTCCGGTAACCGATTTCAATAAAACTTGGTAGTTACATATAATTCCAACTGCTTTTGAGGTCGGTTTTTTTAGTGCTCTGTACTGAGATTATATTAATAAATGTCACAAAATCATTGAAATAATATTTTATTGCAGTACTAAAGAAAGTAGAAAGCTTTTTCATGTAGATAGATCCAGTAACGATGTAAATTTATTGCGTTCTTTTAAATTCATAAAATCAGCATCCGCTGATATGTAAGCAACAGCAACAACCCTGCTGTACATTTTAAAATATTCTACCCCTCTTGCTCTTGTGCCACCCTCGGCCAGCTCTTTAAGTATGAGTCGAGATAGCGCTCCCTCTATAATAAAATTCTTGTTAATGTTTGCCATTTACAAGCTTGGAACCTATCGTATAACAGAAACAACAACAACTTACTTATTTCTGCCGCCTAGCGGTAATGTGAGCATTGATACGTTCCGGGTTTAAAGGGTAAGGGTGCTGGTGGTGCTGCGTCTCAGTGTGACGCGCGCAGTGGCAGTGCCCCTCAGATCTTTGTGTTTTAAAGCTCTGAGTGGCATTGCAACTGTTAAGGACAAGCGTTTTGCTTATCATCAGGTACACCATTTGTCCGTCCCGTTACTTGATATTATAAAAATAAATAAACATTATACAACCTGGGTAGTTGGGTTCGGTTATCAACTGAACTCGGTTACCAACTGAACTCAGTTATCAACTGAAGCTGGCAGAGTTACAAAATAGGCCTGCAGGTCCGTGATTTAGGTGTAATACTTGATAGTAAACTGTTATTTGATAAACACATAGACTTTATTATTGATAAGGCGTACCGGAGCCTGGGTTTCGTTATGAGAGTGTGCAAACCTTTCGATAATATATGCTGCATTAAAATGGTGTATAATGCATACGTTCGTAGCGTACTTGAATTTGGCAGTGTTATATGGACTCCTAAATATAGTACTTACATAAATAGTATTGAACGCATTCAGAAGGTATTTATTAGACATATAAACTATAGCTAAAAAACAGTTTTTATCGTACGCAGAAGCATGTAAATATCATCGCATGAATACCCTTGAGCATCGTAGAATATTGCTGGACATGACTTTCCTTAGTGATGTGGTCAACAGTCGCCTCGACAGTTGCCTCCTAACATCATCAGTAGGATTAGAAGTACCCCGACGAATCCCTCGTTTCCCCATTCAAAGGGTTTTTTGTGTTCCTGTCAGTCGCACAAATTATGGCCAGAACGAACTAATTTCGCGCATCACTAGTCTTTATAATACCACCTACAGTGACTTTGATATTTTTGCGAACTCAAAAACAGCTTTTAAAAATAAAATTCTTAAGAAATTACATAATTAAATATTTAAAATTTAAGTTAAGTTACTTATTAATAATTATTAATTTACTTTTTCATATACACGCACACGTGTACACACACACACACACGCACGCACGCACGCACGCAAGCACGCACGCACGTACGCACGCACGCACCTACGCACGCACGCACGCACCTACGCACGCACGCACGCACGCACGCACGCACGCACGCACGCACGCTCACGCACACACACACGCACGCACGCACGCACGCACGCACGCACGCGCGTTCGCGCGCGCTCTCACATAAACGACACCTGTTCATTATCTACACAATGAAGAACAAGTCATACTACTACTAATGTATATTTCACAGTCATATAATATATACTTTTTTACAAGTTTTAGAGTACATATAAATATGTCAAAATTTATTATTAACGGAAGTTTGTAAGTTTGAAAAATGTTTGTGGTATCCTGTAATTGGCGTAGTTGTTTGGGATTGTTTATCTTTCAAATTGTTAATATATTGTAAGCTGTTGGATGCCCGAAATGAAATAAAATAAAATAAACAAAAGGTTATGCAGCATCTCCGTATTTGACAAAAATCTATGGGTTGTTTCTATTTATGATACTTTTTAAATAAACATTGGGAACTGATAAACGTTAACAAATATCTTTTTAAAACAAAGTACAACATGGCAAGTATGGTAACTTCATACAAACGTAGCAGCCTCGTGTCGTGTACGTACGCATACATTCGCATGATAATGAAAGGCGCGCGGGACAATCAGCGGCATACTATGTTTAAAGCGACCAACCCTTAAATGCTCAATCGTACTTATTCTTATCAGTGAAATCTCCTTTACAAATGAACAGTAATGTTTAATCAATTAGCGACTTGAATATTGAATTAAACTTATGAATTAAAGATATTTTGAATTTGTCTTTGACGTAACCTCACGATAGCGCGCAGAGGGCTACGAGACCATGCAATCAGCAAAGTCCTCTTTGACGTTGCAATTTAGGCTCTAATAAATTTAAACATTGAAAAAGTTAGCTTTTATAACTTTTTAATGTATTTATATAATCCCTTCATTTTTAACTTTTCAGATTTTTAAATTTCGTAAATCTTTTCTCTGTTACAGATACACGATCAAGGAAGATGGCGATCTGGTTATCCGCGACGTTTCCTTCACGGATGTCGGCAGATATCAGTGTTATGCCAAGAACAAGTTCGGAGAGAAGTCTGCCTTCGGCACGCTCACCGTTAAGAGTAAGTGGAACCAAGATAACCGCCGTTTAACTAACGACTGCGAAATCTAAATTAAATAACCTAACCAATGAAGACTTTCTTGGGTTGCTGCGCTGAATGAAGCAAGCCAAATATGTCATGGTGCGGCTTTTGCCCTATAATAAAGCTCTGATTTGCACCTATCACCTTCGGCAACGTTGAATTCTTCTCATTGTGTTGGGCTTGTCGAAGCCCCGCGGAGCTTTAGACAGATAGCTTCCAACTGCAACTTATTTTCTAGAGATTTAGTAGTAGCAAAGCTCCTTATGAAAGATTTCATCCAGGGGAAGTAAAGCCGCCTTAGCTATTTATGCCGCCAAGCAGTAATGCACATATAACTGCGTTCCGGTTTGGAAGGGTAAGAGTGCTGGCGAAATAGGCACATAAGACTTGTCAACTATTGTCTCACAGTGACGGGCGCAGTGGCCCCTAAGATCTTCGCGATTTAAAGCTCTGAATGGCACTGCAACTGTTATGGATAGGCGTGTCGCTTGCCACCAGGTGCACGATTTGTTCGCCTCGTCACTTGATATTATATAAAAAAAAAGAATAACTAAAGTTATCAGTATTACCTAATATAAACCTGAATACATCACTTTTACAAATAAACATAATGATATTGTGTAGGGAACGAACCCAAAAGATTAAATTCAAAGAAGAGAAGTACGATTGCTAGAAAATCCACAGTTTTACATCGCTGTTACACTTCAAATTTGTATTTTCAGAGCGCACTGAAATCACGGACAGACCGGAAGATTACGAAGTGGCAGCTGGCTCGTCAGCTACTTTCCGTTGCAACCCGAAATCGGACGACTCGCTGAAGCTCGAAGTGATCTGGCTCAACGACGGCCAGCCTATAGATTTCGAGGCGCAGCCGCGGTTCAGGATGAGCAACGACTACTCGCTGTTGATCTCTGACACAACAGAGTTGGACTCCGGGGAATACACTTGTATTGCACGAACTGAGATTGACGAAGCAAGAGCTCAGGCCACTCTTACCGTTCAAGGTAATTAAACAAGTCTTTCTAAATCGATTTCTGATTTGGGTGTTGGATCTTGAAGGCTGTTACTCGATGGTTGAGGAAATTCCCTAGTTTGGCACATGGTAATTTGTGCTATTGTCTGAAACTCGATTATTTAATTTTTAATTATTTTTATTTCATAGATAAGTACGTAAGCAAATTACACATGAAATTGTCACATTGATTATCCTCTACTACTTATTTGGAAGCATAGAAAAATGAATAAGAAACTCTAGGGATGGCTGTTTGTAAATAAACATTTTGATAGATCAAGACAAATTTTTGTCATCCAAACATGCGGAAACTGTTTTTATTTATTAAATATATAATCAATTTGTAATTAGTTATCCAAGTACCAGTGCCTTGGAACCGATGTAAGATTTTGTGCCAATTGCAGTGATAACTGCGGGGACTTGGCTTACTAATAACTAAATAAATTTAGTTTTTGAATTAAACAACTTATTGTATTTGTAATTCACAGACAAACCGAACCCACCGGAGCTAATAGGGCTGGAGTGCGGCCGGCGTGTCGCCAAAATCAGCTGGAAGGACATGGGCGATAATCGCGCGATCACACTACGTTACACCATTCAGTACAACACCTCGTTCACTCCCGACACGTGGGACATTGCCAATGACAACGTGCCTCATGCAGATAAGACCTGGAGCGTTGAGCTTAGCCCTTGGGCTAATTATACTTTCAGGTAAGTGGAAGCATTTTTTTTTTTCGAAATTCAAATCTTTAAACATTCAGACGATCTACCTGGTGAAGTGGCTCCAACCGCAATGAAAATGAAGCAAAGCTAAAATATTGGACTAGCTATATATTTTGGATTAGTCGACGTAGGACTTATTCGTAAAGTGACCTATAGTTGTAAAAGTACGTAATCGTGGTAGGTCTCATTCTGAAAATGCCTTATTCGGGAAGTACCCTATTATTCAACTTAAGACATATTCGTACAAACACTTATTCTTAAAAGGACTTATTCTTAAAAAGACTTATTACATTATTATTATATCTTGAAATACCCCATTTTTCTAATTGTTTGTCAATTCGCTAATTTATATTGATTTAATTAAATTTTTATTGAATTTATATTCAATTATTTTTTGTGAAATTACTCCACTAGTTTGTTATAATTATTAATACAAAGATCGAACACTCAAAAAAACACTCAGAAAAAATTCCTTCGATCCGGTCGGATTCAAACCGACGTCTTCTTGCATACCAGGACTGGTAGCTGTAAAGGTACTAACTGGGTGATAAATCTGTAATAGATTTCTCATAGATGGCGCTAGGACTAAAAAGGCGTTGAAAGACCAAGTACAAAGGCACGACACAAGCACATAGAAAAATTCGTGAGGTCCGTTGGTTCGTTCCGTTGCTTAGTTGGTATAGCGTCTGGCACGGTATGCAAGAAGACGTCGGTTCGAATCCGACCGGATCGAAGGAATTTTTTCTGAGTGTTCGATCTTTGTATTAACAATTATATTGATTTCTTTTATAATATCAAGTAAAGAGACGAACCAGTCGTGCGCCTGATGGTAAGCTACACGCCTGTCCATAAATAATTCCGGCATAAATAGGTAATGTGGCAGTACTTCCCTGGACGTACTCTTTCACAAGGAGCTCTACTGCTACTAGATCACGAAACTTGTTTCCATCTGAGCCTATCACTCACGATGATTGCAGAACAAGTTTAAATAATAGTATGTGAATTAATGAGAGTGACCAAAGAAGGTGGTCCTCAAATCGACTGTGTTTTTTTTATGTTTGTTACTCGATTACTCCGGCATTTTGAATAGAATAGAATTATTTATTTCGGACCATGATCCATAATAATGTTAGTAATACAGTAAATTTTACTTACGTGCTATGGTTAGTACAATACAAAATTACGCACGCACGCTACGCACGTGTAGTTGCACCCAATGTAGTTGGTAGGGGCAGTCCAGCCTATTGGCAACAACGGTTAGGATGCTATTAGCGCTGCCGCGTACACGCATCATAAGTGAGGCAGCCTTGCGCATAATGGCATGAAAGCCATCTGTGTGCGCCTCCGTGAACATGCCGGGTGCACTACAGTGTCGCGGCAGCCCCATCAGCATTTGTGAACAGATTCCGATTATTCTTTTTTTGTTGGAAAGAGGGTCCCTCAATATTGGTCCCATTTGCCGACCTCAAAAGTTCGTTCAATTACATCTGTTTGCCAAGTTTTATTGAAATCGGTTACCGGAAAGTGCGCGAAACCGGATTCACCCCCTAGTTTACCAGTCTTAGAGAAGGAATATTTTCTTCAAATTTAAATGTCAAAATACGGTGACAATGAAGCGCTGTTAAAATTAAAATAGGCGTTCGAAATTTTATACTCATTGCAAATTTATAATAAAATTTTAAGTAATATTATGTGTACTAATTACTTTACTATATTTGGCGAACAGGTCTTTTTAAGAATAAGTCATTCTACGAACAGGCCGTTTTAAGAATAGGTCATTTGGTGAACACGACGTTTTTTAAGTAGTATGCCGTTTTCGAATAGGTCCTATGTCGATTAAGCCTATATTTTTAAATAGCATAAATAATGTTTGCACATTTGTCACTGGATGATGAGGAGAGGGGCGAGCCTATAAAACAGGAGAAATAATAAATAAGTTCGAAATGTCTGCTCTAAATAAAATAGGCTCTTTTGCGCGCATATTTGAACAAACCGCCTTCTGATACTGGAGAACTGTCTATAAATGTATATCTGTCTATAAATGTGGCTATTGAATAGATATGTCCTTCGCGTTGGTATGCCATCTTAAGTCTTCTGTGATGGTGATTGCGCTGATTCTGATTTCCTTGCTTTCAGAAACACAGCAATCCCATAGAAATGTTTACCACCGCTTTTTACCTAGAACATACCACATCTATTCAATATTTTTTTTAAATAATTTCTATGAAACGACACCACTTGTTAAACCCTGATGCCATGGTGAAATAGTAATGTGACAAATGGTTTGTACAATTTCTAAAATAATTGTCCTTTTTAATTTGCAGAGTAATAGCATGGAACAAGATCGGGCCGTCCGCGCCGTCCGGTCACTCCGAAGTTTGCACCACGCAACCAGACGTGCCTTACAAAAACCCCGACAATGTCGAGGGAAAGGGCAGAGATCCTACTAATATGGTCATCTCTTGGTCGGTAAGTAATAACCAGTTTACTGTGAGAGAGAAAACTTAATTCCAGTTTAATAATAATAATAAAAATAATAGAAACCCTGTATCGCGAGTGCCCAGGACACACACATACACAATTGCAAATCACATACAAATTCACGATAGAAATAAATGTAGGCCATACGAATATTTCTCCCGGCCCTGGAATCGGAACCCGGGACTTCTGCGTGGCAGCGCAGCATGGCAACTGTTCGGTCACTGAGGCAGTCTTATCATATGATTTACAAAAATTAACGAAATAAAAAATAAGTAACGTAGGTTCCCTAATCCGATGCAATATTGTATCATATGAATAACGTCCTTCAATTTAAGCAGCGTATAGCCATGATTTAACAAGTATGGTAACTCCATACAAAAGTGCCTGCTTTTGTATTACCATACTTGTTGTGCGGCTTGTATGTGTGCACCCTGCCGCGTGCCGCCAAAGGACGCACACATTCACATAATCTCGCGATGCTTTCGCGTTGCCCAGTGCGACTCATCGCATGCGCCTATTATTATAGAATTGAAGCGTCTGCTCGGTGTTTAAAAAATTATATTACGTGCTTATTGTCGTGTTTAAGGGTGCCTCAAATTCAGAATCCATGTCATTTTTATTTCATAATCAATCTCCGTAATTAAGCTTGGTAGCTTGGATCGAGGATTGGTATCCGCGATCCTGGTATAAAAATATCAATACGCAAGTACCTACTGCATTTGACAAAAGTTATTTCAATATAGCACGAGAATCCTGTGATGAACATCTTAAATTTTTTAAATTATGTTTATAACCTATAGGTTACTAAAATAATAATGTAACAACCCTACGTTCCGAGCAAGGCGGGAGCTGTCCTATATACTTGCTCTTATACTACGGTGCAGCTTTATGTCTCTGCTCTCATATAGTACTGAAAATACTAACAAAGGACGAAAAGATACTGTCTGCTCCAAAATTGTATCATCAAAACTCTATTCTATTGTTTATTTCCAGATTTTTTGTGTTTCTTGGGTCATTTTTGTATAATAAATGAAACGTCAAATTGGCCATATATCAATTTTGTTACATAAAGGTTAAGAATATTCTCCAAGAATTCCTTTAAAATATGTCCTACAATGGTACATACAGATAATTTATTAATTATGTCAAAATAAATATTGTCTAATTTAAGCGTATAGGTATATGATTTGCATTTTATTGTTTAATTATTATTTTGTTAGTATAATTAAAAAACCTGTATAATTAGTACTTTTACCTAAAATACAGGATTCTCCTAGTTCAGGTATACGTGTTATATTTTACATTGATTCGCATAATTATTCTTTAGTTATTCCTTTGTATAATAATTTTTCAATAAGCAACTTTGTTTATTGAACACATACACAATTATATAAGTAATTTATTTTAAGTTCTTTTATTTCGCGACACACACGTCCGTCACTCATTTCGTCTTAGGGCTCATTGACAACCAGCGCCACAGCCAATCATGGCTGTGGCATATGCAGAATGAAGTCCTTTTGCATACGCCACAACCACACATATGACAGTAAAAAAAATTTGAAGTCGTTATATTTTGTTATTTATTTATTTATTTTATTTATTTATTTTAAACACTAAGAATATTACAAAAATATATATACATCACACCCTTAAACCTACATTGGTTTGTCCGGGTGCTGCACGTTCTCCTTAATTACATCTTACATTGTTGTTTTGCTTTTTATCAGATTTGTCTTATTTTATGTTGTCTTTTTTTATTGTATTCTTTATTTTGTTTATTAATTTGTTTTATTTTGTTTTGTTTGTGTTATCAATTTTTTTTTTGTATCTATTGTTGTGGCGTTGCAATAAATGTATATTCTATTCTATTATTTATTTATTATTCTGTTCGTCATGTCCCTCGAGAACGGCAGTGAACCGTGAGTCGTTCCAGAAAATGCCGCAAATTGAACACAACGGGCCCGGGTTCTACTACCTGGTGTCGTGGCGGCGCAACATCACAGGGCAGCCCTGGACCGAGCAGCAGGTGCGCGACTGGCAGCAGACGGAGCTCGTCGTGCCCAACACGCCCACCTTCGTGCCCTACAAGATCAAGGTACGACCTCCACTTCCACACTCTTACAAGCAATAATCTACGTATATCAGAATAAGGTAATGTACAAACGAAGGCGTTATTTATTTGGCAAACCCACAGAATTACATATAATACTTATACTAGAGATTACATTCTGCATTGTTCTTATTATGTATTCCAGTTGTAGGTAAGCTCATTACTGAACCAAATGCTGACTTGAAAGTTATAAAAACTATAAATATTTATAATGTTTGAACATAATAATTGAAATACATTTATGAAAATTAAATTAAATTTAAATAAATAATAAAATTAAAAATGAAATATAATAGCATTAACTGCAATAACATTTCATTGTTTGTTAGTACAAAAGTGTAAATCAATCAATATAGTTAGTAATAAAAAAATATGTCCAAACAATCAATTAATGACTTTTTCTGGGCATGAAATTCAAGTATTCGATTGGGATGAATTAATTACATTACGACGAAGATCTTTATATTATTGATAATTAATATTTTAAATAACTACAATAATCTATTTTAATACGTATTTTAATCACACCCTTTCTATTTCGTTAGGTTGTAGCAGTAAATTCGAAGGGAACGTCAAATGTTACACCAGTGGAAGTTATAGGGTGGTCTGGCGAAGATACGCCCACACAAGCTCCTACCAACTTCACATTAATACAAATTACCACAGGCACAGCTGCCCTGCTTAGCTGGGACCCTGTACCGCCACAAACTGTCCGAGGACATTTCAAAGGGTACAAGATCCAGACCTGGGTGGATGGTGAAGAAGACAATCCAAAAGAAATTCTAGTCAAAGCCGACGCCACAAGCGCTCTAGTCTCAAAATTCAAGCCATTCAAGAAGAACCACGCCCAAATCATGGTCTACAACGGAAGATACAACGGTCCCGCCAGTGAGAGACTGACTTTCGTCACTCCTGAAGGAAAACCTGGACCGGTCAATTCCTTTGAGGCATACCCTATTGGCTCATCGGCTATGTTACTCAAATGGGACAAACCTCGTAACGAAAATGGTATATTAACAAGCTACAAGATTTATTACAAGAAAATGTCAGGAACCCAAGAAGGACCGTTGCAGGAGAGAAAGAAGGAGATCGATCCTAAATTCGACCGAGCGAAGTTGGCTGGTTTGGAACCGAACACCAAATACAGGATCGAGATTCGCGCCAAGACAAAGGCCGGGGAAGGCGAGAACTACTTCGTTGAGCAGTCGACCAAATCTTCAGTGTCCCAGAAACCTGATGTACCAATTTTTGAGACGAAAACTTTACCCGCTAAGGAAGGAAGCGCGGCTCATATTTTAGTTCGTTGGCTGCCAACTCTCGACGGACACGCAGGGACGCATTTCGTGGCCTGGTACCGGCTGAAGGGCCACCCGGAGTGGTCGAAGACCAACGAGGTAACGGAGGATGACTACGTGATTCTGACCGGACTGACGCCGAGTCAAGTGTACGAAGTCAAGATCACCGCGCACGACGGAGATTACTACAGTGCCAGCGAAGTTAAGGACGTCGATACGACTATCGGTAAGTTAGAAATTCTTGTTAGTAGCAGTAGAGCTCCTTGTGATAAAGTTCTTCCAGGGAACTACTGCCACCTTACCTATAGCACTCCGTCCAACATCCGTCCGAAACAATTACTGTCAAATAAGTAATATTCGACCAAATTAAAAGACAAGTATCAAGTATGAAGCTTCATTCGCATCACGCGTGTTTTCATTTGGTCGAGTATTGCTTATTTGACAGTAATTGTTTCGGACGGATGTCGGACGGAGATCCAGAGTAGACCCCTAGTTCCGTATCCGAAAAAAAGGCGTATAAAAAAAGAAAAGAAATGACGGTCCGAAATGTCACAGGGATCATTTTATCTCTAGGTACAAAAGCTATATTCGTATTTTCTTGGATTCGAATTGGACTTAGTGCACAACATTCGAAGCGGGTCCGAGTTTTCTAGAACAACGAATGGAATGCATTGCGTAGACGCGCCAAAGGGTGGTGGTGACATTGTAGTCACTTGGGACTTCTTAACTATGTTACTAAAGCTCTGAGTGTCACTGCAACTATTATGGACAGGCGTGTCGCTTACCATTTACTACGTAGTCACTTAGTATTATTAAAAAAAGACGAACGATGACCTCGAACTTCGAGGCTCGAAGTCGTTCCGAGCGGCAGTTGATTGATCGATTGGTACACCGCAGACGGGCCGATGATAATGCGCGACGACAAGATGGCGACGGCGGGCTGGTTCATCGGCGTGATGCTGGCGCTGGCCTTCCTGCTGCTGGTGCTGGTGCTGGTGTGCGTGGTGCGGCGCAACCGCGGCGGCAAGTACGATGTGCACGATCGCGAGCTGGCACACGGCCGCCGCGACTACCCCGACGGGGGCTTCCACGAGTACACGCACCCGTGAGTTGGACCTGTCCCTATTCGTTTAAGGTGGAATTTGCTTTGAACCTTTGGAGCATAGGTTGCCAAACTTTTTGACTCACGGCCCACTTAGGCAATATAAAAAAATTTTAACGCACACCACCACAAAAAATAATTGAAAACACATATTTTTTATATTAATTTTACACAAATCAACACAAAGAAATTATGTTTATATGTTGTGACGAAATACTTACATAGATTTCTCATAGATGGCGCTCCAGCTAAAAAGTCGATGAAAACCAAATACAAACATCCGACAACAAACACATAGAAACATTTGTGAGGTCCGCTGGTTCGTTACGTGGCTTAGTTGACATAGCGTCTGAGACGGTTTGCTTAGAGACGTCGGTTCGAATCCGGCCGGATCGAAGGATATTTTTCTAAGTGTTCGATCTTTATATTAATATTTATAACAAATTAGTGGAGTAGTTTCACTAAAAATAATTGAATATTATTTCAATAAAAATTAAATAATTAATTTACAGTTAATAGCGACTTCTCTAGTCGGGGCTGGTAGCTGTAAAGGTATCAAACTGGGTGACGAAATACATTCATAGACTTCTCATAGATGTCGCTACGGCTAAAAAGTCGTTGAAAACCAACTACAAAGATCCGACAAGAAGCACATAGAAAAATTCGTGTATATAGTGTAGTTTATATAGATAATTCAGGTTTTTTTTTTTTCAAATGCGGTAGCAGCCCCTAGGACACTTCAGCGCCCACTTGGCGGTAGAGACCACTTTGGGAAACTACGCTTTAGAGCAAATTGAAATTTCATTTATTTGCTTTCAGTAGGGTGCATGTTGGTGATAAAATATATCACATTAAGAAATTGAATCAAGTAAAACAAAATATATCATAATGTGCATCGCTTTGAAATCAATCGTTCATATTTGAAAAAATCCTCAATGGAGTAGAATAAATATTCTAAAAACCATCAACACCGTTCTTACCTGTAAAATCATTTATAGTCCATTTGTTTAGGTACTGAACTAAATGTAAACAAACTTGATACATCTTTTTATTGAAACATCTTTACAAAGCAATATTTGCAATTTCATGTGAAGGTAAGTAAAAATCATTTTGTAAATGTATATTTCTTTAAATATACATCTCAAGATTGTTTACATTTAGTTAAGTACCTAAACAAATGGACTATGTAGTTTACCGTATCATACCGTATCATACCGACATGCCTTAAGAAATTGGTTAATTAAGGTATAGCCTTAATTAACCAATTTCTTAAGGCATGTCGATTAAAATAGTATAATCTGCATTTCGATTCACCAAAGACATTCAAATGTTTCATATTATAAAACTATTTCAACTATTCATTCATTTTAAACCAAACAGGATTCAAACAATGTTTCTTATTAATTTCGATTCGATTTATAACTATCAAAATATTAAAACCAGCCATAATTAAATCGTATACTTACTAACAAAAATGAACTTTCAGACTGGACAACAAATCTCGGCATTCGATGAGCAGTGGCACTAAACCAGGCCCGGAGAGCGACACCGACTCTATGGCTGAATACGGCGAAGGCGAAACCGGTAAGATTTTTTTCTGTGTTTCAACAAACCTCTTTTTGCATTTTGTTTACAAATTTTATTACTATGTAAAGGTGGATACGTACTTGTCAGATCCATACATTGCAGTATGTGGTAAGCCTCATTACTCGCCACCGTACAGTATAAAGTCTGTCTTTTTTTAATATGGAGTAAAATGACACTTGCAGGGTTGCCAGTTTTCATAAAATTTTAAATAATCGTGTGGTTATTGTCGACAGCTTTATCGACAAATTGTGAATGTCACGACGTTCTTATGATAACTAATTGCGTTATTGCCTTCTTTGTTCTTATTTTGACAGTTGGCCTCCTAGAAATCAATTTTTATTCGTAACATTTTAATAAGAACAGGTGGATTTGATTATGGTTATTTCACAACAAACCAATTAATGGTAAAATCTGGGATGATATGCGTGACAGTAGGAAAAAATTCAAAAGTAAATTGAGATGGTGTCAGAGTCACTAAGAACAGATTAGGATGGATATTGTTGCCTCCCATCGAGACTTAAGCCAGTACTGGAGAGCAACAAATAGGTTAAATGTTAGACCGGGCCGCCCTATGAGTGTAGGTAGTTCTACTGATCCCAAGGAGATCGTAAATCTATTTAAAGATCGTTCTAAAGTGTCCTGAACACTGGGCTCGGTGGATCGGATAATCGATACTCGGGGCAGACTGACTGGGAGCTTACCAATGCGGTTTTCGGCTAAGCAGATAGCGTCTGTTATAAAGAACATAACCAAAGGAAATTCGCGGGGGCATGATGGGCTCAGCATCGACCATTTGAAGTTCGCTGGGGTACACCTTCCCAGTTTTATTGTTTATGTATATCACACTCCTATATTCCCACGGAAATTATGCGAACGATAATTGTTCTACTGGTAAAGAATAAAATAGGCGATATTTCGGACTTGGGTAATTATAGACTATTTTCATTGGCAACGGTGATAGCGAAGATGTTGGACAATCTGCTGGACATTACTTTGCATCAATTTATCAACCTACATGATGCTTCAAGTTAAAGTTCTTGAGCTGGAACTTAAGTACTGGGTAACGTTTATTAATAAGTGGAAATTTTGAGAATCTCAAATGCAGTGTAATGATGATATTTATTAATAAAGACGAGATGGATTTATTAAAATATAGGCATTAGTATCGAAAATTTAATAAACGGCGCTACCCTATTGCCATCTGATTTATCTTCTCTTGTCGTCATTCAGCCATACCATTTTCATCTTCTCTTTGCGACATCGAAATTATAAGTCATAAAAAATCAAATCAAACGAAGGCGCATCCACCTTTTCATCTAATTCCAATAACTCCTATGTTAATACTCTTAGCTTCTCTAGATGCTCTTATGCTAGTTTTTAGAATGTGGACAGCAACTTATTCATTGTGTGCTCCAAGAAAAGCTATTTTAAAAGACCTATCGTTTTTATACATTTTTGCATGTACTTAGTCTTTGTGTCATACAACTTTTCGTTTAGACTGAGAAGTATCTCACTTTTTTTTTCGTATTCGTGTTGTCACTTTGTCTTTTTAAGTTTGGACTTGAAATTTATTTGTTAATATTGCTTATAGTTGTTATAATAATAGTTTTCTTTAATATTTACCATAATCGCATATTTTTTTAATGATATTCAATATAATGACAGTAACAAATTCATTGTCATACTATTGCAAAACATTAAAAAATTAATTAAAATCTAAATATTTATGATAAATATCAGAAAAATAAAATCTCTAGTCCAAGCTTTAACACATATATCTAGCATGATTGTTGTCGTATCGTCCGCTACACGCATGACCCTTCCAGCTGGTATGAACGAGGACGGCTCCTTCATCGGGCAATACGGCCGCAAGCGCCGCCCGCCCACCACCAGCCAACCGGACTCCGCCAGCCAGGCCTTCGCCACCCTTGTCTGAATACATCCTTCCCTATAACCGTTCCAAACCTAAAGGCTGAATAGCCATTGTATCCATTCCTCAATCCTGTTACCCTTTACTATAAAAAGTAGACTTCATAATCATATCAATGTGAGCTTTGAAAACTGTAGTTGTTCTGAAGTAGTTTTATCAGATTTTAGTATTTTAGTGTCACATACGGAAAAAATATTTTTGTTACTACGTGTAAGTTAGTTCAGACGTAGTGCCATGGCATCACATGTATAATTAAAAAAAAAACAGTCTGGAACTGTCCAACCAATCAGCGTAGCGCTATTTGATCTTTGCCTTGATTGGTTAATTTTTGACGGTGAATCCGCCCGCAAAATTTTCTTTTTTCATTTTATTCTCATGGTTTTAGAATTTGAAAGTCGAATTTAATTGAATTATATCGAGGAGTTATAAGGAACCTTGCTTACAGATAGCTCCGACTTGAAATTGTTAATAACGGTACAGAAATCGAGTTGCCATTGTAAACTGCATTATTCCTTAAAATTATATATTATTTTTTTTAGGTTGTGAAGGCTTAACTCAGGACCATGTGATTAAAATTGTTTTTCGAATGTAATTTTACATTTACAAATAATCTCTCGTAGGATATTATACAAAATTATAGTGTTAGGCTCAAAATCCGGACGCTCAGGGTCTTTATTGTACTATTTCAGAAATAGTTCTCATAAAGCTCTTTTCACGTGTCCACTTAGATTTAAAAAAACTTTTCTTTTTTGAATCTCGCACAGAATTTACTTATAGATTAGTATATTAAGTACACATTGAATTAAGTATTAGGTTGTAAAAAGTCTATATCTCGAGTGAATTTTTACGTGATTTTTTTTATGTCCAGTAATTTATCATTTTTATATTTCGAGCTTTCTTGAATTTTTTTGCATTTAAATTTAGAAATAGGTTCTCCTTGTCCGTCCTTACCGTAATTTCCATACGAGGAACGCTTTTCTGTATTTTCTGTAAGGTATGGTTTTTTTTTATTAGTTTTTGTTTTTTTTTGCATTGATTAATTTAATTAACTATATTTTATTCTTTAAATTTTATTATAAAACTTAATTACATTTTATTATAAAGCGTAGCTGCGTAGTAATGCATATAACAAAAAGTACTACAAGAATAGCTACTATTTAAATGTATCGCTATATTCAGTCTGGTTTTTCTGGGGTTGTCGCTAAGACTGCCCGAAAGGATATTGAGCAGTGGGCTCTTATAATTATTGTCAGTGGAAAAGTAAAAAATTGAAAACTCTTTAAAGGGTAACCGACACAAGTGCTAAAAATGACCATGAGCAGAAATTATGGAAAGTTTTTGGGAAACAAACAAAATAAGTTTCGAAAGAAATCTATTCCATATCGCTGTTTTTCAAGAATAATCCAATCGAAAATGACCTTTTTTTTTTTGTTTTACTTATTATTACTGAGATTTATTCAGAAAATGCTAAATTCTCAGTTCATTTTGGAGATATCGTATAAAAACATAACCCAGTTTCAGAATATTGTTTAACGATATTTTACCTATGTTCCATTAAAGTACGTTCCGATAAGTCGGATTCTTTTACTAACTTTAACTAAAAGAGAATTTTGTGCTCTATCTTTTGCTATTTAAAACGGATATTTGACCACTTGTCACTTAGCCACGTTTTATTTAGTGGGCGGCAGATAGTATGTATAATTTATTTTGTAAATTTCTCAAAAAATACTTTTCGAGTTATGCCACTTTATAATTGAGGGTGCAATATGACTTAGTTCCGATCGAAGTGGCGCTTTAGTTTTTCGCCTTTCCACTGACGATATGGTGCTGTCTCTCAAGCATTAAACGCCTGTAATCGTGTTATTTCGAACATTCCAGGTCGCTTCACAGAAGACGGTTCGTTCATCGGGCAGTACGTGCCCGGCGCGCGCGTGCTGCCGCCCCCGCCCGTGCCGTTGTCGCCGCCGTCGCCGCGCGCGCCCCCCACCGGCGGCAATGCACAGCCCCCCACCTACGTCTAAGCAGTGACGTCACAGGTTCCATTTATCCATAGTCCCTCGTAACTATGACGTTCGAGTTCGCGAATTCTGTTCATTGATCACATTTAACCTTTCTGCTAATGTTACTGAACACTTGATCGATAATGCTATGTTAAAAGTTTTGAAATTATTATTATGGTAGAAATGTTTTAAATACGTTTCAAAATTAAGACAAATCTAATATGAAAGTGACGTCATAGTTTACCAAGTGACCAACAGTGGGGCTATCTTTACAATTTCTAAAGAGAAGACTCGTCGGTAATGTGTCAAGCGTAATAGCTTCCATCCGAAAGGAGCAAGCGTGAACGAAATAAACTTCGTTAGTTCTTGTTACATTACTAATTAAATCTTGACGAGTGATCAATAATGTATATCAAAAGCTAAGCTGCCAATTTCATTTGAACAAGCTGTAAAAATGGCAGATTTTTTATTAATATTTAGTTAAAATTTATTAGTGACGTAGGGCCACAGGTTACGCTGATTGTAAGCCTACAGTTTGACCTTAATGGTGTCGGTAGAAGGCTATTTCCAAAATCGTTTAAATGTCTCATAAAAGCAAGTTTCTAAGAATAACTAATTTGACAGAACTAAAATTAGTCTCCTTATTTAACGTATATTGGAATAATGGGGCACTTCTCTTGCTGTAGCGTGTAGTTTTATAAACGCTGCTTGATATTACTACTACAATCACTAGCAGAAATTTGGACGGACCATATTCCTATGTCCTATAGTAAGTACTGTACTGTAAACACACTACATTAAGTACGCTACAGTAAACATGCTACATTAAGTACACTACAGTAAACACGCTACATTAAATACGCTTCAGTAAGTACGTATATGAAACGAAGAGCTGCCTTTTAAGGTACGGCAGTGTTTTAACTCTGTCAAAATGGTTGGATTTTAGAAATGTGTGCAACAGTAACTCGCTTGTAGTAATTTGAAAAGACGCGAGTACTTAAATATTCTATTCGTTTCCATCCAATAAATATGTATCTAATTATAGCAGACGTGAATTGTCCTAAAACTCGCAAAGGAACTTTGATTGGAGATTTACCTCGACTGATTCTAGTGTTTTAGTAGATTTATACGTAGCTTTCGTAATAAAAGGCCGTCCTTGATTGATACTGGTGCCATGTAGCGTGCCTATCGACTGGTAAATTCGACAAATCAAAGCTAGAACCAGTATTAAATGATCCCGCCTTAGTTGGAGTCTCCTTTAACTGGTAATTGCCTGATAATGCAATAATCTAATATAAGACGAGCTTTCATACCACAAGTATCAAATGAGGACGGTCTAAAGTACTCGCGTCGTCGATTCACGAATCAAAACAGATTTGTTTACTTTAAGACTGATTTTAAGTAACTACAAAATAGTCTTTGTAACCTGACCCTTTTCCTGAACATTGTAGTTTTTATTACTATCAAACTTAAATAAATCTAGGGCTCATGTTGCTCATGCGCAAAGAAGCTTTAGTACTAATTTAGATGTTTAAACGGATACAAAAGTTCACTTCTGTTCGTAGTTCCTAAGTGACCTTTTGTAGCCGATAGGAAGCAATAATCGTCGCAATAAGTTCGTCGTCATAAAAACTACAATGTCATGGAACCTTCTGTACCGGCTTATTAGGCGCATAGGCGGCTGGCTCGATATCAATTACTCGTAATTAGGGATACGTAGCGGAAGACTCGAATTTAAGAGAAGCTATTTTTTTCACAGAGAGTAAGGTAATATAGCTCTGGGTGCCGGTGGTCAGATAAGCCAATTCTTGAGGGCAAACTCTTGTATACATAAGTTGTTTAAAAGTGTAATAAAGGTTGTATACTTGACTTGTTCTAACACTCAGTAACACTTTACGCTTTAGTAAAGCTGGTCGCACCGCGAGGGAAGCTACACTAAGTTAGCTTTAGTTTAGCGTTTTACTTTAGCGTATACATCTGTTCACACCGCGAACTAAGCTAACGGAGCTAAGGTAGCATAGTTAGTTGCATGCAGCTACGTGAGTTAAGCTAACTTAGCTTAGTTTCACTCGCGGCGTGACTTGCGCTTTAGAACCGAATTAAATAAATCCGTCTCAATTGCAAGATCAATATTAAGATCTTGCATAACTTAACTGTTTTTATTAATAATCGTCACGTGAGTGCGCATAGGGCAATATGAGTATATGTTCTTCTCAGTATAAGCTAACAGTTCTGCACCGTCAAAATTTAAAATCTAATATGAACGCTTGTAATTTCAACAATACTCGTTGAATAGCAGAATCTGCAGAAGCCTCGAAAATTACTGAGCGAAAATCTAGATTCTAGCTAAATCCAAAAAGGGCACCACCAATAATCGAAAAGAAGAAAAAGAAGAAAGATTCATTACACTATTTGAGAGCAGTAAAAAAATCTAAAGATCATTATAAACTCCTTTTCTCTCAATGTCACTTGAGATGGGTTGATGATTGTATTCTATGAATATAAATGAATCTCAGCCGATACGCACTTAATACCAGAGTTAGTAGCAGTTTATTAATACAATCAACGGGTAATTAATATTGAATGGCTCGTGGAATAAAATACAGCAGGTATACTCCGTTACATTGTCCTCTGTTACTGTCTTCAACGAAAATAACGTGATAATTTAAAGAATAATACAGCATGTTGGTACAGGAGTTTGTCCTCAAAACTATCGTTATTCTATCTCAATTATTTTTTATAAAAATCTCATATTCACTAGATCTTCTAAATTTACTCACTATGGACCACTAAAGAAATATTTTTTAGCATTAAAACATAACGTACTATGTTTATCCCATCGACCAAACTTATTTCAATTCACCATTGTAAAGAAAATTATTGAATTACCTCCATATTTGCATATTATATTTTAACGACGAGAAAAAGTGTTATAAAAAATATTTTTTTTATTGTATCAAAATTAGTTTTTATTAATATGCAATGTCGTCACTTTTAGCACGAAATGGTGGACAAAAGTGAGTTTCGTCAAAATAAATAAATTTCGCCAGTTGGTGTTGCAAGAGACGATATGGGCTTCGCGGATAATTTCACCATGTTTGTGCGAAAGTTAGGTAAGCACTGGGAAAAATATATATTTTCTAAAATAAATACTATTTTTATATGATTGCGATTTGACCACCGGCCGACGTTTGGTGCTTTGCGAAGTATCGAGGGGTGTATGTATTTGGTGTTGTGATCGTGAGTAGCGTAGCACGGAATAGTCCCCGGTCCTGTGATTGTCCACGCAATTGTGAACGTGACGGTCTACGATTACGACGAGAGATGTTATTTCACACGACATCATTATTATGACAACACAATCGGCAAAATTGCTAAATGTCTAATTGAACAACGCGTTGTGACATATCATAAATTATGATGTAGTTGTTTGAATGATGTTGCCAACATTTTGTCGCCAATGATAACAATCGCATTGCTGGGCATCATAAGTTATTGATAATGATTGATATTTTGAAAGAAACTACGAAAAATATTCTAAAAAAATCACCTTAAGCATACATTGTAAATCCCTTCATTCTTTCATGTATTTGGTATTATTAAATCTCCCTTTTAATTGTAAGGCAAAAATGTGACCACTCTTTTGAAAATACCTTGACGAAAGTTTTTTTTAAAACCACCTCCCGAACGAATGAACGTAATAATAATTAAATATGGACGTTTTAAGTTCACAGACAGTAGTTAATAGAACGGTTCTTATTAACAATTTTCATAAGAAAATGTATCACTTTTATTCCTAAGACCTTTACGTCAATAAATTCCTAGAAATGCTCTTTCGACCATGTTAATAACGCGTATACTCAAGGCCGTTCTATGGACATAATTACGTCATCGAACACGAACATCGATCGATCCTCTAGGCAGGACATAATCGTTAATGAACACGTCATGTCGTGTGACGCAATCGGTTGTTCGATTTAGTGAACGTCATTTGAATCTCGATTATTTTTCTTGTTGTGACGCATACCCGTCAGAAATATCTCTCTTCTAGTTTAGAGTAAGGCTTTATGTATTTAAATATTCATATTTTTATGAAGTTTGTTCGCACCGCACGATTGCAAGTTATCCCAACGTTGATGTTATATATTCGCTATATTGGAGCTGGGACGAGTGCCTCGAAATCACTAACTATTTATACTCCATTAAAAATCTACACATTTTCATTTTCATTACGCATTATTGATACAGTCGAAACATCAAATATCATTTATGATTAATAGACGTTAGTTGTGGCGACAACTCATATCACAGATACGTTCATTAATTTGTAAACGAAAACCTATGTGTCAAAAGTGTGTCAAGTACAAGAAGTATTGAATGAAAATATGCTACGATAAAGCGGTGAAGTGAGTGATGCGTTGAATTAACTAGTGGAAAGCAGTCGTCCCAATTCTAAGTGACTCAATTGTATCTTGTGTTTAGGATAAGGCTAGGGTCTCGTGTTAACTAATGTTAGGCAGCTAATGCGTTCGCTTCTTGCAACCTTAAACATTACTTGCATTATATCCATGTTACACTGCCGGACAAACTTAGCACACCATAATTAAGATGAAATCTATATCTTGCTCGTTCGGAGCATAGATTTGACAGGTGATAAATAAGATATTTCTTTACTTTTAATTTTGACGTAGATGAACTGTTTAATTATTATTTTGTACTTGTCATCAATCATATTATAGCGAGGGTAATTTCGGGTGATATTTGGCAGCCATCGTATGATGATTTCAGACATTCAAATGGGGCTAAGTCATTATAGCTAAGGTTGTTCTGCAGTGTCTTTTATCTTTTATATATTTATTTTTCTTCGCCTGAAAGGTGTCGGGTCCTAAGTAATACATTCCACGCGGTATGACCATGTTGAGTTTTCAAATATCTGTTTTATTTATCTCAATTAATGCATCGTCGAAGTGGTCAGATGTAATCTGAAAGTTTTTAAAACATAGACCGTTCGGCGACTGTACAGAGCAAAATATTTTTTTCTCATTTTTTTTAAGTTCATGACTACGTCTTATTTTACAATTTTATGTTCCAACATCCAGGAAGAGTGTAACGAAATTCAACCCTGTTACGTAGCTCTTGTGGCTAGATTAGGTTTTATGCAAAGAATTTCATACATGGGTCTTATTTATATAAAGATCATGTCGTGTAACACTCTTCCAAAAACTCTTTTTGTATAGTTCTTTATGTAGAAACATGTTTAATGCAAGGAACTTGGTCGTTCTGATTTGGAGCTTACACTGTAACTATTGGTACCTTATACATTGCATTATATTTATATTTGATGGCACTGTTATCATAACCCCTTTGAGTTGTTTGTTAAGGAATCTTTATCATGTCTATTGTCTACTAAGAATTTAATATATATTATAATTAATTAATAGTAGAAGAGCCTTGTTCGATTCGCATATGTTTCGTCGCTTTTTATACCGCCATGTTGAAAATATAAAGATTTGTCTTAAAAATTGTTAGGTTCAAAACAATTTGAAGTTGAAATTGTTACTGCCGTTCGTATCGGTGATTATTACACTGCCTTTCATCCTAAAACTTTTAGAAACTCCCGTGTGTTCATTTTTATGTGTTAGTATGTAACATTTAATAAACTACACTTGCCTTATACAAATTTTAATATCTAATCAATAGAAAATTAATCTACACAATGTAATATCCAGTAGCACAATATTTGCATTTATCTAAATGATTATCTTGTCGTAACCTTTGTAACAACAATAATCGGTATATTTAAATAAAATTAGCTTTTCTAAAATACAAAACATAGTATGCTCAGGTATTTGACAGCAGACGATTAAAAATCGCGCGTACTTTTGTTTGTACTGAAGTGTAATCACTATATCGTAAATTAAAGAATGAATGGTAACAGATATTTAAAAAAATTCACACTTCAATCGACACTTTGCTATATGCTAAAATTGAAGAGTGAATGACGAATGACCTAATAAGTTTTTCTAGAGTAAATCGACAACACTTTGCTACATGCTAAAATTGGGGAGTGAATGGTGAACGAAGTTTTAAAATTTTTAAACGTAAACTAAAAAACGTTGTGTTGCAATAGAAATAAATGTATGTGTAATCTTTCACATTGGTAGATATAATTGTTGTACGTTACAATGACTCCGTCTTATTATTCTTGTAGTCTGGACGATTTGTTTTACCAGCAGTACACAAGTGCCTAGATATTGAGATGCTTTTATTATTATTGTTTGTTTTTCGAACGTTCTAGATTAAGCCAATAATAAAACATTAACGGAAGGGCTAATCGATACATGAACATAGGTAGTCAAGAAATATACTTGATCAGCAATCATTGGGAATAAGGTATTCCAAATGAGTAGATAAATGTCTACATATCAATACAAGGACTGGCATGAAGTGGTTAAAACCACCAAATATTTGTTAATTACGTTTTTCGAATCATAATGAAATATATGATAATAAATAATATTGGCACTAGTTAAAACAAACTTTTGCTTGTAGATCATAAAAAAATTACTGTCGTGAGTTATATACAATTTTGTTTCTTACTTGGCGCCACCAGAATAACTTTAAAATCTCCAACTTCAGCTTCCTAGGTGATATCTTACTATGCACCAAAATTATTACCGGAGGTTCGGAATTCGAAAACAGTAATTAATTAAAACCATCATGGTTTCAACCACTCCATGTCAGTCCTTGTATCTATATGTAGATATTTATCTCATTTGGGATACCCTATTTCGACAATTGGTTATCAGATACGACCACATGTCCATGTATAATTTGATCACATTGGCACAATCACTTCACTACAAAAACTTCTGATTTGAAAGAAATTTTCCACACTACAAGAAATGCATAATTTGCTAAGCTTTTTTTTACTACTTACAAAACCAGTTATTAAGTAGTCTCAGAGTTAGTTGCATTTATCCGAAATGAAATCATGACAAATTATAAAACTGTACTTGGTTTAAACTGTCTGACCTCGTGAGATGTATCACGAATTCATAACTCTACCTTTTAGTTCGCAGTTAAGTAACTTGTAATTTATTGTGTAACTACGATGAATATTTTTTTATGTTGCATAGAAAATAAATTTTAAGAAATTATATTATGCGTTTTTATTACTTTCATCCTTTATAATTAATAAGTACTTATTGGAGTAAAACAACAGTATTTCGAATTTTTGTGGTAATGTGACACCTTCGATGTGTTTTGTATGCTATAAAGGAAGAAAAAAAATCAGTGTCTAACTTATTGAATGAAATCAGTGAGGCTCTAGATCATAGGTATTCAAACTTTTTAGCTCACCGCCCAATTAGCCAAGATAAAAAATCACCAAAAAGAATTGAAAACACGTATTTTTTATATTAACTTAACACAAAAAAGTCACAAGGATAAAAAAAATGTATATTTGTAATGTAGTTTATATAGATAATTCAGGTTTCTTTTTCGAATGCGTTAAGGCCGGCGCAGAGTGACGTCGCGGCATGGCACGGCACGGCAAAGGATTTTATTTTTGATCAAGTTATTTTTATCCTTATTTCATCGAGGTTAGAATTCATATTGCTTTATTTCGATACAATTATACCGCGGCACGTAGTGGCATGCCGCAGGACGCCGCGGTATGCCGCGGCACATCGTGGCATGCCTTTTCATTCCACAGACGTCCCGCAAGTCACGTCGGTCACAGAATTATGACAACTTGAAACTAGTGCGGCGGCGATTTCGGCGTATGGCGCGCAGCGAATGTGCCGCGGCATGCCGCAACGCGCTTCGGCATGCCGCGACGAGTTTCGACATGCCGCGGCATGCCGTGCCGTGCCGCGACGTCAGTCTGCGCCGGCCTTTAGCGTCCCCTGGACAGCATTAACGCCCCCCAATTGCTTCCGAGGCCTCTACCGTCCCCCCCCACGGACTTTTCAGCACCCACTAGGGGGCCCAGTAGGGAAACTATGCTCTAGATTGTAATACGTAAAGCCATAACTCACCCTAGGCCATAAAGTGAAAAATTAAGGCTCGATTTACTTTGTAAATGTAAGTAAAGCGTCAGTTTCGCCTCACTGCGCGAGAAGGCGCGCGCGGTCGCTGGGATGTTCGAGCATTCGCGAACTTTTCTTGCGACTGTGCCCTAAGGCTGTAACATTTCGTCGACGTTTGACGTCACATTGCACCTGCCTTCGCCCCACTTCCCGCGGATTCGCCAGCCGAATTCCGCGGAAGACGCACGATGTAATTTTTAGCTCGTATCTAATTTGTACCGTTCCGCCGCAATATAAATTGAGCCTAAATTTTTGATAAATCTAACGAAACGTTGGTTTGTTTAAAAAAAAAAACGCAGTTAAGTTCCGAAAAAATAGTTTCAATTTTCAATGTGGAGCAATCGCAAATATTTTAAGCTGACTAAAATAACTTAAAACGATAAGTCATTAACATGTTAAGCTTGATATTTTGGACTTTGCGTTGTTCTTATCATAAGCGACATTGAATTAAATTTTAATCTTTTGTGTCAAATTTCAAATGTTCTTGACCCTGTAAAAAATAAAAACAAATACATAGTTTTATAGATACGAGAATAGATTTACCTATATACTAAATCTATGGATACGAGTATTATCAAATAGGGGATTCGCTCTGGACCTTTTGGAGGGAAAAGTGTCGTTTTTATTTTGACTTTCAATTATTTTGTGAAATCTAGTTTAAAGTGGAATAGGATAGTGCTATTGTGCCTTAATCGAAGATTAAAACGCGAAATTATATGAATCTCGAACTAGAATATCCGTATCGGCCCGTTTTAAGGAATCCCGAGTCAATCCAAACACGCCGCCTCAAATTGCCTATCCTCTTTGTTGCGGCCATATTTACAGAAACAAACTTCATGTTTAGGCTGATGGCTTTGCCAAAGCCTTAATAAATTTAAACTTTGGCACCAATCATACGTGACTGATGTCCTAAGGATGTCACGTATGTATCTTTTTAAACTGTTTTGTCAGATCTCATATTGATGGAGCCATAAAAATAAAAAGTGAAGTGAAACTGTTTTGTCAATATCCCAAAAAATTCAAATCAAATACGTCAATTAATTATTGAGGTTTGCCACGTCCTATTAGAGCTTATAAATTTTTTTTTCGTTTTTTTTTCTTTGAACCGTGACATTGGCAAAATCATCATTTCTCATAATGATGAAGCCATAAAAATGAAAAGTGAAGGGAATGATGTTATATACCTAAAGACAAGGGGGTGCTATATTTACATTACGAAAAAACCTAGTAAGTGGCTAAAACACAACTCGAGAAGTCAAGAAAAAAATGAAACTTCGGACTTTGCACTCTACTAGCTTCACTTAAGTGTTAGTAGTGTATTGGAAATGAAAGTAATAATATTTGCTTTTTTTTTCAAAAAGCATCAATTTTACAGAATCTATGTCCCGCCAAACTGAAAACAGTTTGTCCGCGAGCGCGCTCTTACACAATTTATAAATCCACCTTTTAATTTACTGGGTACCTAGCAGTGATAGGGTACTTCTTATATAAATCAGATTTACTTATTATCCAAAATGGAAGGACCGCACAACAGACGTACCATTTTCTTTCGTTTGGGGTATCTTGGGCAACGATCGGCGAGTACCGTACTCCGTTTGGCAAATCCAGTGTATGGATTCGATACGATAAGAAGAAGATTAACAATATTACCTATTTCTGCCGTTAAGTGATGTGGGTATTACTGCCTTCCGATTTTGAAGGGTAAGGGTGCTGGTGAAATTACAGGCACATGGGACTTGTCAACTTATGTCTCAGGGTGACGGGCGCAGTGGCCCCTCCGATCTTCGCGTTTTAGACCTCTGAATGGCACTGCAACTGTTATGGACAGGCGCACGACTTGTTCGTCCCGTCATCGTCACTTAGTTTGAAATGCAAGTTTTTATACTTAAAGTTATAGAATATTTTTTCAAAACAGAATTTCATTCAATAGCACCTTTTTTTAATAATAACTTTCATAATTTGTTTGAAAAAATAAATATACGCGATTTTAGATCCGAAAATAATTGTTTTATTTACTAAGTGTCGCCATCGCGAAAACCGAGTTCTTAACCCGATTATTTTTAGGTTAATTTTTTTATTGTTTTTTTTTTTCGTTTTCATAAGCAACGTAATTTATACTTTACACTAATATTATAAAATTATTTTTAACGCCGTTAGTTTGTAAGAAAGCCTATTATGTTTTTCTTTATAATGTCATGTTACGGGACGAACAAGTTGTGCGCCTGGTGGTAATCTACACGCCTGTTCGTAAAGGTACCTAACGAATGACCGCGAACGCGCTGCACTTGCGCTGCATGCGTGCAGTTAAATACATGTTAATATATGTGGTACTAGAGCGGCGCGCGAACAGATCACATTACGTATCGCGTGTGTGCTGCTGGCGAACCTTACGCAATTTACGAGGCGCATTTGCGGCGCATTAGCTAGATCTGTACGCACCCTAACAGTTGCAGAGCCACTCCCGAGCTTTAAATCGCAAAGATCTGAGGGCCATTGCCACAGCGCCTGACACCCTAAACATAAGTTGACAAGTCTCATGTGCCGTGCATATGCATGTAATTTCACCAGTAGGTCGGTACCCTTACCCTTCAAAACCGGAACGCAATAATGCTGACATTACTGCTTGGCGGCAGAAGTAGGTACCTAAGGTGACAGTACTGTAAGCTGGGGCGTAGCTTAGGATGCGTAGCGTGAGGTACTTTATAAATATAAACTGGGATTAACTTCATGACTTGATATTTATTGTATTTTTTCACATATTTATATTTTGAGGCTACTATTAGATCTCTCAAGATGTTCTTTTTTTCTAATCTGTTTTTTCAAAGACATTCTAAATACAAAACTATATTCACTCAGCCAGTAGTTCTACTCATAGAGTAGAGCCTAGACTACAGTACTTCCCTGAACGAAGTCTTTCTCAAGGACCTCTGCTGCTACCAAAGTGGAGCGAAAAAAGGCAATGTTACAGCATCCAATATAAGTAGGTACATGTTGCTTTTGCATCGGCACCAGCAACTAAAAAAATTAAGAAATATATTGTGTGTGTGTGTGTGTGTGTGTGTGTGTGTGTGTGTGTGTGTGTGTAATAAGAGTTTCAGCTGAAATTAAAACATCTCATTAGCAAAGTAAAAAAAACTGTTACTTAAAGGACAAAGACATAGATAGTAACGTTGTATTTTCTACTTGACTTTAGTATGTCCAAAGCTCGAGACTAAACAATGGTTACCGCAGGCAGGTAAATTAACAGCTCAATAATAGAGACCATTCACGGCTAAGCCATGACAAAAGAAATGCTCGACTTCTGGAGTTCGTAGCGCCTTTTCATTCTTTTGAGATAAATCATCCGGTGATTATTTTCTTTGTTGTTATAATTTCATAGTTATTGGATTTTTTCTACTCTTTTTTTTTTATGAGTGGTTGCAACTTCTTTTGCTCGTTGCAAGTAATTTAATTTACTTAAATTATTAATTAACTTCAATTAATACGAGTAGATGCGTGCTTATGTCCAGCAGTGGATGCGTGTAAGCTGAGAATGATGATGATTAGCAGTAGAGCTCCTTGTGAAAGAGTTCGTCCAGGGAAGTACTGTCACCTCACCTTCTGCCACCAAGCAGTAATGTCAGCATTAGGGGAGAGCTGGGCTGAACACTCCTGTTTCCAAATAACTTGAAGTTTTATACTAAAAATGAAGGGTTTGATTTTCAACATGTGGAAATATTGTCGCTTAAATGCTAAACGACCGCATGTCAAAAGTTCAGTTTTTTACAGGAGAGGCAAGATCAAAGTTTTCGACCTCATTTTATTACATATTAATATTGTTTTATTTTTAACTAGCCATGTATTTATACTCAAAAGATGCGTATTTTAAGGCTTTATAAATTTGTAAACACAGACACAACTTACAAAAGGACTGTTTAGCTCAAAAGTTAGCCACGAAAGCGCAGAATGCCAAAGAGGCATTTGCGTAATTCCGTTGTTTATAATGCGAAATCGCTAGCTCTTTTAATTTTTATTAACAAATATTTGGTGGTCTTTGTGTAGTATTAAAGTTTGACTGTTTTGTTTAAACACATTTTTGCAATAAAAACATTTTTAAACTTTTTTGTCATGCGGTGGTTTAACATTTTAGTGACGAAATTATTATTATAGCTTTTTATTAGTTCGACAAAATGGTTATAGTCACTTCTACTAATATCTCAATGTTTTTTTTAAAGAGGCAAATTTTTGACAAATTTCGGAGCGGATCATTCAGGCAAATTGAATCTTTGAGGCAAATTGTTCTGCTTAGATTATGACAGGATAACAAAGATTTTCATAAATAAAACAACCTCTTTTATAACTGCCGGCATGTAATGCAAATTTTGTATATGAGCTCTGAGACTAACACAGGGTATATAACCTTTAATAAATCGGTTGTACCCATTGACTTACAATTATATGGACGTCGGGTCCGCGCTAAAAAGTGTCCGAACTTATAGGGCGTTTAAATCGTATATAGAGCGTCATTCGCGCTTTAGTCTTCGTTTGTTCGACTGACAGCGATGCAAGCAAAATTAGACAGTACTGCGATGACATTACAATTTAAATTCAACGTTTTAGCATTTTCATATTCCTTTACATGTCACTACGTTTAAATAGGTTGACTTGGGACATTTTTTTCGTGGTTTTTGTATTAGACCCGTCGTCCACTTATTTGTAAATCAATGGTTGTACCTTCTAAACAAAAGAACCACTAATTCTAAAACGTCGTAATCAGAACCGACTAATTCACGACTTTTTCTGTATGATAAACTATAAAGGAGCTGCGGTTCTAGATATTTAATAATGGTGCCACCGGAATAAGCTTATTACAGTGTGTACAGTAAAACACCCTTATAACTTTTGAACGGGCGGCGTGCCGATAAGGTGAATCTAGTTTATTGCGACTAGAACCGAGTAAATGGCGACTTTTCGAATTTCAAAAACTCTACAATGGTCACGCTGGAATAAGGCACACATAAGTAACATCATTCACTGACATTAATAACAACTTTTGTTTCATAACTTTTAATAATTTGCATTTTACATTTGTACAAAAATATAAATATTTGCATGGATCGCTCTAAACGAGTGATAACACAAGTCTGCGTTGATCTGTGCTGTAGCTAAATAAACCGCTAACGTAAATGTAATACCTATAGTATAAATACATATTTAAATACCAATGCAAAACGCAGGAGCACGTTTGAACTTACTACCTTGCCATCAAATACAGATCTATTATCAGATAGTACATACAACAAAAACTTAAGTTTATTTTTGTTAAATATAGGTACCTATTACGTTTTGTCAAATAAACGTTGTATAAGATATTAGTAGGTAGGTATAATACAACCCTTTATTATACCTCTACAAACCAGGATAAAGACTAGTTATAATAATTACAAAATATATGGCGTTAAAGTTTAACAAAGTAGGTAGGATACATCTTTCCAAGTTTCACATTCATAATGGGGAAAGAAAAACAATCAATTAGTTAAAATTATTAGGCTTTATATTGGAACATCGAACAGATGTACATAGGGTAGACTGATAACATTACTATGTTCTAAAACTTCAAAGTATTATCATAGTATAATAATGCTTCAAACAAACGAACGATCTCTGATTGATTCCTGAATAAATGAAGCAATAACTAATTTTCCCACAAGGGCATTTGGCAGTCGCATCAAAAGCATACAAAGATTGAAAAGAATAAAGAACGGTGCATCGCGATACATTTTGCGATAGCTTTGAAATAAAAGTTGATGCCAACTTTTTTCATCAGCCGCATGCCACGGTACACCGAACATCCAAAAATGTAGAGCAGCTCTTATCGTACACAGATAAGGACTAAAATGTTAATGTCAACATTTGTACAATAGTAACATAAACTTGCGCCTGGAGTAAAGGAGCAAAATACAAGCAGTCTGTGTCCGGCCGCCGTGGGAACGATACATACTCGAAACCCGTTTGACGCGAACAAGGACGTCTGTCCGCGAACAGTAGTGTTTTTATAATGACCGCGAGTCCAGTGGCCTATGTTATATTTTGACACGGACTGTCCAGGTACGGAGACACACTAGTTTTAGAGCCTGAGGTACGTTTCGCGAAATTTCTATCGGATCCGATCGTGTCGTTGATCCCACTTCAGAGTTAATTGCTTGTTAAGCCATTGATTAGAGTCGATAGAGTTATCAAGTGCTTTCCAAGTAGTCCTGGATCGCTTTTACGATCTAGCAATCTCCCGGTGATTAGTTCTGGCGGAGTTATGGACGTTAATAACACACGGTCGGTGTTATAATAGGCGGGAGTTAGTTTATAGGAGATCGGAGATTAAACGCATAAAAAGGTAAACATTGCTGTCTGGGGTATGGTAAACATAATGGGGTGGATATTAATAGTGCGATCCAGGATCATATGGTCGGCGGGTGCATAGTGAGTTAAGGGCGGCGGCGTTCGTGTGACGACGACGGCTGCGCGGGCGACTGCGGCGCGCGTCAAAACGCGAAACGGGTTTAGCGCCACAAGTATGCAATTATACCGGTTTTTGTTTAATTGATCTTCAATGTTTTGGCATGGGTGTTAACAAACGAGATTATGATTGTATGTCCTGAGATTTCGGTCTGTCTTTGTTCCCGTTATATTTGTCAGCGCGCAGTCTACCTTATTAACCGACTCAAAATAAACGGAGGAGGTACTCAATTCGATTCTGTATGTTTTTTTTGCGTAGTCAATTTATTAAATATGACATTGCGTAGAGAAACAATGTCATCCAATAGAAAAACGCTCAGCGTCTCTTTAATATCTTTAGGCAGCCAATAAGGAAAATTTGCTATTTATTCACCAGTTGTACAAGAAATAAATAAACTATGTGCATTATGTATTTTCTCTAAACAAGAGTTGTAAAGTCGATTTTGACTTACCAAGGCAGATTTAATAGACATTTTGTTTCATCTTATCAAAAGACGAAAGTCGATCGCGATAAATAATCGCCGTGGCTACATCTTGCCTTATCCAGGAGCGATGGGTGGATTTTTTCTTTTTTATACTGTTACCTGTTTCCGAACGGGTATCGACCATAGCTTGGGTTAACAAGTGCACGCCAGGGGTACGACACCTTTGGATAAAAATGAATCTTGTTTATTTATACTGGTGTTTGATTTTGTTAAAGTTTTGCAATAATCTGTGGCGATTTCAGGCACACTATTATGTGTTCGGTATAGAAGTGGAAATAGATGACTGGATTTAGTGAACATACCTATATTGAAAGGGGGGTGACAATCTTCCTCGACGTACTAGATAAAACCTAAGGTGGATGAGGGTAGCATGGAAGAAAGTTCACGAGAAAGTTAAAGGGATGCTTAATCTATAAAAACCTGTTATAAATGCTGTGTCTTATAAACTAAAATACTTAATAAAATAAATAAAAATAACTAGATGTATTTGCCTTTTTACTGACGTTAAATTAGTATATAATTAGTCTTATAATTAAGACTTTCATGCTATTATCTTATTATAAATACAAACTTTTATCTTTTGTATAATTATTTGCTTAAAACACAACCTTCGCATAGAGATGTGTCATCTACAACGTACATTATCAGTAACTTATGTAAGTATTTTATAGCTGTTTTACCGTTTCGTTAATTTAAACAATAGTTTTCCTTTTTGAGCGCGTGCACTTTGATTTTATATGATCAAATATTGTTTGTAAAGTTTTAATTTATTGTTCATGAGAAGTATAGCTCGAATTTTTACTTATTAACGTTTTATTTTTTTATTTTATTTTATTCGGAACAACAACATCTATAAATAACGATTTACAATGAATATTTTTAGGTAACACTAGTCAACGCGAATTACAGTTGTCCACGTTCCCATTTTCAAATATCTGAATTATGGTAAAAGTTAACACCTCAAAAAGAAAAATAAACGCGAAAGTACTTACATTAAGAAGCATAGCAAAAAGAATGAAGCGATGTGAAGTAAGCAATCCTAAAAAAAGCGTGCATTAAAAAAATGATAATTAATAAATAAACGCAAAACAAGAAAAACAAAGCAATTCTGTAAGTGGTAACTCCGCACTGTATTCAAATTTCAGTTATTTTCAAAAAGGAGTGCATTAATTTTCCTTATAAAAGTGCGCTTAAATATCGTACAAACAGATCCAGTGCGTAACATTTTTGATTAAAAGTACGCATGATTCGCGTAAGGACACTACCCATGTCATAATTTGTAGAGTGAATAGGAACAAAAAGTAGGGGTGTATACCTGCTTTTTTTATATAACACCAAGTGACGGGACCAACAAGTCAAGTAAGTATAAGCTACACGCCTGTCCATAACAGTTACAATGCCACTTAGAGATCTGAGGGGCACTATCACTGGCCTCGTCATCCTGAGACAATAAGTTGACAAGTCCAATGTGCCTGTAAATTCGCCAGCACCCTTACCCTTCAAAACCGGAACACGGTAATGCTGTCATTATCGCTTGGCGGCAGAAATAGGTAGGTGGCAGCACTGTAGTACCCTGGACGAACTCATTCCCAAGGAACTCCACTGCTACTAATCTGGGTCCTATAATAATTTAGGTACGTACCTAAATAGTAGGTAATATTCGTAAAACCTATTGTAGCTTTTTCACTTTCTTCTTCGGCCTCATATAATGTTAGCTGAAGCCATGGTATAATACTATGTGTAGGGGAAATACGTACAAAATGACATAGTTGGCATAATTTAAAATTGGTGGACTCTAGCACGCAACTGACAACTGCTTCATATGACCCAAGTGACTTTTACTAACCTGTCAAAACGTGAACTCACCCCTCTCAATCCGTCTCAGGGTCGTCGCTGAAGACAGGGGTTTTATACGTTACGAGTGTTTTCTTTACGACAAGTGTTTCTATATAAATGATACGTTTTTCGCTAATGTACCTATTGTTGTTGCAGTTATTTTATCCCACAATAGTTTATTGTTGCCCTCAAATGAGATTTTCAAAAAAAAGTGTTAATTTTTGAAAATTCTTTTATATAACCGCTATATGGACAAAACGACATATCATATACACAACGGACACAATGACATAGGTATGCCATTTTGTTCTTAAGCACACATTAAAGGAATTAAACTTAATTAACTTAATTTATTTATTATAATTTTCATTATAACTTTCGTCAGCCCCAAAAGGACATGCATTAGTGGACAAGGGAAACGTAAACCAAAGACTTGGCAAATCTCTTTTGTTTTAATTGCTGCTCGTAATATAAGAGAAATTTATGACAAATTAATTCGAAAATTGAGCACAAAGCTCCCCCAGCAAAGAAGAGACAAAACGTCACTACAAAGTTGTATGAAGATGCCAGCGAAGAAGAAAATTTTCCTTGCAACCCTCGAGTTAACGAAGAGGATTGTCCTTGTATATATTGCAATGATCTTTTTTCTCGATCTAAGCCCGGAAAAGACTGGTTACGATGATGCTTAAATTGTTCGCATTGGGATCACGCTTCTTGCCCTGATGATCCTAGAAGGACAAAGCTTTTTATTTGTAAACTTTGTCAATAATTGTATAGTTTTCACGTACTATGTCATTTTGTCCATTGTATATGGACAAAATGCTTTTTGATTGATTGAGTTAAACTACGAATTATTTTTTTCTGTTGTTTTCATTCTATAATTGTTTGTTACTTTTAGTAAATAATGAACCAAAGGCGGTATTGGTGTAAAATATGACTGTGATCTGTACCACTACAGAATTATGACTAAAAAATAAAATCCTATGTCATTTTGTACGTATTTCCCCTACTATTATTATACTATGGGATGTTACATTGATTCGCAAACCACATGCGGTCATTCGCATACCACCGCTTGCCCACACTATCGCAGGATGTCGCCAACCGCTAAACTCGAATCACATTTTGCACGATATTGCCGTATTTATATTACATACAATATACTACATCACTTGTATGTTATCAAGCTTTTATAACCAGAAAATTTGCTAGAGTGTTTGGAAAAGAAATTTAATTCATTCAGTGGAGACGATCTCCTCGATCGACGAGTTTCTTGGTAAATACTTTCAAAATGAACCGGGCTCAAAATTCGTGAATTTCCATCGAAAAGTATAATGGCTCTTTTGTATATAGCTTAGTTATATAATAAAAGGACATCTATCCATATCGAATAGGATAGACGCCTCGATTTTTCGCGGTATAGGTTAGGTTTAAAGGGGCCTTAGGGGCAAAGGACAATACAAGAAAGTTAGAAAAAGAAAATAAAAAATACATTATTTTAGTGAAAGACAAGTAAATGATAATAGTGTAAAAGTAAGTAAAAGTACCAAAAAGACAAATTATTCACAGTTTTAAAATGGTTTAAACAGCGAACATTTTTGTATAGAATGTTTTGATAGCTACAAAAATACGAAGTGAAGTAGGTAGTAACTTTAAATACGTATATATTTATTATTAAAGATGTAATACGTATATACAATATATTAAAGATTACAAATAAAATATTTTATTGTGAATTTCACTATTTATTCTAAAGGTCATCTATCATTCTTAGTATTTTAATTGCGTGGCGTCTATCCATATACACTAAGTAGGACTTTATCAGTTTTTTTTTACTAACGTAACGTGTTATATAGACTTTGAAAAAACATGACGAAATAAATTATAACTGTTTCATATAAAACAAGACCTCAAATTTTCGTGGAATTAAGTTTTATTGAAATCGGTTATCGGAAAGTGCGCGAAACCGGATTCACCTCTAGTTTGCCTTACCCGTTTATGTGTGTTATTTTCTTCAAATTTGAACCGTTGTATTCAATAGGTACTTTACATATCAATTTAATTTCTTTTGTAGAATAATTCTGAAATAAAGGTAGTGTTCACGCCTCTCGACCCGCGCAATAGAACCGATACAGTACGGGAAAAGTTGGAATTCGAGCAGAGGTAGTGTCGAGTTTTAAAATCTTTGCGACTTTCAGCTGTGTGTGGCACTGCATTGTTATAGGTTGACGTGTTGCCTGCTACCAAGAGCACAACTTCGTCTCGTAATTTAGTTAATTCAAACTACTTAATATTATAAAAGCGAAAGTAATTCTGTGTCTTACATTTTGGGTAATTTTCATGTCAAATTGCCACCAAAATTAGGTAGAGAAAACTTACCTAAAATTACCCTTTCCATGCGTAAACCTCTGAACCTAATTTGATGCATTTTGGTATAGAGATAGATGGGCCCTAGGAGAAGGACGTAGGTTACTTTTACCATAAAAATAAATCTTTATCATCACCATAGACAGCCAGACTTCACCCACTGCTGAGTGTAGGCCTCCTATAACAGTCTAACTCCCCTCAATATGGTGTATCCTCTAGCAGGTATTGCACCACCATACGTATGTCGGGATGTAGTATGCTCCGCGGAGAAGTACAAACAAGAGAGTGACAGTCGACATCCTTTATATGGCCACCAAATTCCCCGAGCTCGCCTCAAAAGCCGTAAAAATTTCCTGCGCACCACAAAGGCTACAAGTGACCATCCAACTGTCACTAGGTAGTAGTAGGTATATTGTGGAAACGGAAAAATCCCCCACCACCTGGTTTCATCGTACCTCAAAAGTTTCTGGTTTCAACTATCACCAGGTTGCGACCTGCGGTGGCCCGTGTGGAGGTTCTTAAATCGCCTTCGCACTCAGGTGGGACGCTGCAGAGACACGATGTGTAAATGGGGTTTCAAAGATACTAGTCAAATCCAATGTGACTGCGGTGCCCCAACGCAGTCCATGCAGCACTTGCTGTTGTGCCCCTTGTGTCGTAATACCTGTACGAGGGAAGATCTCTACGCGGCCACGGACAGCGCAGTCAAAGTAGCAACGTACTATTCAGGGTCAATATAGTCTTAAAATAAAAGAAGTATCGACACGATAAGAAGATAACAGTCTCACTCATCTACTGCCCGCAACTTTGACAATGTCGTCCACCCATCTCGATACAGGACGTCACACGTTTCTATATCACCACGTATTGCAACATGTCCTGCCCAGCTCCATTTGAAACTCGTTACCCGATCTCCTATATCACGGACCTTAATTCGTCTACGGATTACTGATTTCGGAAGTCGATCTATAAGTTTGATGCCGAACATGACTCGCTTCTTGGTTCTTTGTGCGACTCTCATTCTGTACTCAGCCTCTTGTGTGAGCGTCCACGTCTCGGCACCATAAGTCATAGTGGGTAAGACACATTGATTAAATAAGCTTCAAACACTGTGGAGTATCAACTGATTGTAGGATGTCATCTAGCCTACCGAATGCAGTCCATCATCAAATCTTAAAGTAGGTGAAATATTTCTCAAGTAAGGGATCGGAAAATTCATATTTATTCTTTTTGTGATGAAAATTCGTATTAGTCTAATACAATAGGCTACTCGAAGAACTTATTCTACGCAGACGAGGGACGTCGCATGCACCAGCTAGTATTTAATAAAAATTTGTAACGGATCCATTGCGCGAATTGAGATATCTCTTTTAAAGCTGATCTCGTTAAAATTTACTTCTTGTCTTGTCTTTACTTTCTTCTCTTCTTCTAAATTTGTTTCTTCTTCTAAAACTTACTGTCCACAGCTAAGAGTAAGATTTTCTCCTATTTTTTCCATACTTACTAGCTATCCGTCGAAACCAATGGAGACTTAGCTTAAAAATTATTCACGAACACAAAGACATAACTACTTATAATGTAAACATTACCAGACAGGGCAAATAAAACGATGTAAATGTGAACAAAGCTAATTTAATATATACATATAATCTCGCACATTTATTTTGCACGTGCCAAAGGAGATAGTGTTATCGTTTAGCGTGTTTACGCTTTGGTGGACAATCGATTTGATTGCTCAACTTAAAATGAAGGTAATGTTCTGTTTATGAACCAAATCATCAATCCAGAGTTCAAATTTAAATTAATCAATACTGAACAACATTACATAGGATACAGTTAATTGATATTTAAATACGCAACGTAATTTTCCATTCCATAAATAGTACCCTATAGAGCATAGTATTTTTTTTAAGATACCGAGTGGCTGGTAAGCGACACGCCTGTCCATATTAGTTGCAGTGCCACTCGGAGCTTTAATTAGTAAAGATTGAAGGGGCACTGCCACTGCGCCCGTCCCCGTGAGACTTAAGTTGAAAAGTCCCATGTACAGGGTGAAGAGCGCGTGAAGCTTGACACTTAAGACTTAAATCCAACTCTATGCTGCTTACGATAAAAGCGGTCCAAAGTGTCAAGCTTGATGTGCTCTTGACTGTACCTGTAATTGCACCAGCACCCTTATCCTTCAAAACCGAAATGCAGTAATGCTCATATTACGACGCGGTGGCAGAAATAGGGAAGGTGGCAGTACTTCCCTAGACGAAGTCTTTCACAATGAACTAAAATCTGCTACTAAAATTTTGTTTGTATGTCACGCGATTAAATTTGTGAACAGATTTTAATGATTCCTTTTTGTTGGAAAGAGGGTAGCTAGGTACCCTCTTTATAACCTATTTATAAGTAGGTACTTCGGTGTTGGTCCCATTTAAATTTGAAGATAATATTCCGCGTCGAAGGGTGGCAAACTAGAGGATGAATCAGGTTTCGCGCACTTTCCAGTAACCGATTCCAATAAAACTTGGCAAATAGATGTAATTATTAATACAAAGATCGAACACTCAGAAAAAATTCCTTCGATACGGCCGGATTCGAACCGACGTCTTCTAGCATGCCGTGCCAGACACTATACCAACTAAGCCACAGAACGAACCAGCATACGTCACCTCACCTTTCTATGTGTTTGTTGTCGTCACAGACCACATAAATTGCCGTGTCTTTGTATCTTGTTTCTTTGACGATTTACCGCCATCTATGAGAAATCTTAAGCATTTCGTCACCCATACCATACCCCACAAATGGATGTAATTCCACAAACTTTTGAGGTGTGTTTTTTCAGTACTCTGTACTGAGATTATGTTCAATCGCTGACGTAAAGAGTGAGACACACACACACATATCGCCGTTATGCTGGAAATAACAACTGTAAAAAAAATACTGAAATAAAAGCAATTGAAATTTCAATGACGAATATTTCTTACAAATATCTACCATCACCCACGACAATTTGTAACTCATGATTCCACATTTAGTTATTTTTAGTCGGTTAAAAAGCAGCATTAATACTTTATTAAAAAATTAAAAAAGATTGTTATATTGTACACATTTTCGTGGCGCCATAATATATTTGTCACCTTGACTTCGATAAACAAAACATACTTATAAATATTTTTGTTCGAGTTTTACTAATAAAAACGCAAAACAATTGAATTACGCTTAATTCTGTATTGGTACACCTAAAAATACTATCGTATGGAAACAGTTGAACACCTCTACGCATAGACCCGGACTCCTTTTTTTTTGTTAACACCTTTTGTAACTATAATTTGACATCGGGAGCGAGAAAAATGTAGTAGACATTACTTTTTGACAGGGGATACTTAATGAAGTTGTCGCTTTTTTTACGTCCACTGGTCGTTCTCACGACTATTTCTTTGTGGGAGCACGTCCCACACGGGCCCAATCAATTATGTTAACTGTGATAATTTTGTTTTATGTCTTTTTTCTTGCTTTTTTTGTGGTCGTTCCAACACGATATTGTATGGTCGACAAACAAATTATATGCCAGTTACACGGTTATTATTGGTTTATGTTTCTCTGAGTTTTAATGGTTTGATAATTATTTTTATTTAATTATATATGCAGGGTTTAGGATGTTAGTGTTGAGGATATCAACCTAGATTACACCTAACTCCAGATTAAATGCATAGTCATAATTATATTAGTCACGCGAGTTGTATATCGCAAATTAGTGTCTGTTCGTAGAGTTTCGCTTATTGCTTCGTCTTCGAAAAAATTTTAGGTTTATTTTTAACATAACATAATGCATTTATTCACAGCCCCGCACTACGGAAACCCTGTATCGCGGGTGCCATGGACACACACATATGTAGACAAACACAAATTACTCCTAAACTCACGAGAGAAATAAATGTAGGCTATACAAATACTTCTCCCGGTCCAGGAATTGAACCCGGGACCTCTGCGTGGCACTTCAGTATGGTAACCGTTCGGTCACCGTGGCAGTTTTGCATGACGATTTCGTGACTAGTTACGAATTGAAAGTTTTAAGTGAAACTAATAGCAATAGTCTGTCGAAATTAGGGAGAACTTTATAAACAAGCAAATAAAAAGAAAAAAAACAAAAGTTCACCAATATACAACTTAGTGTATAGGGAGTAGTAGTAGTTTTTAATTTGTAATTTTATTTTTTAAATTTATTGGCTGCGTTCTTTGTATTCTCCTATAATCTCTTTTTGGCTTGAGCACTTTATATTGTTTCATGTTGGTGGAAATTCGTAAATGGCATTGGATTACTCATATTTAAATATACTATAATTGTATTATTTGTCCGTGAATTTTCCTAAAATGTATAAATAAATAAATAAGTAGTAGGTACAGTTAATTTGTGACAGCGCGCAGTCGTCACTTCTATTACATACAATCCGATGCAATTGTGTAGTGCTGTCGCATGCTTTTCCTAATAAGAGAAGTAACATCAGTGCTTGTATTTCGATATCAGCTTATACATTGAGCTCCTGGGCTTGGCGCGTGGTGACAACTGCGTGCTATCAGATCCGACTGAAGATAACTGCATGCAGTTGAATATATGCAGGCCGTCTGAAAGCAGCTTCAACATTTGCAGCAGCAGTATGTGGCGATCGGCTGGCATGGGCGCGCGGCTGTGCGCCGGAGTGGCTCTGGCGATGTCACTAACGCTCGGCGCCGGTCGCCGCGACTATAGGAAGGACTTCGAGCCTCGTCCTTCCGACATTTCGCTATGGATCGACGAGCGACAAGTCCGGATGTTTAGTGGTAAGGCCATAATCATAATCTATTGTGGGTCTTCGTACCTCCTCAGTTATGCGAGTTTTTAAGCAATTTATCGTTACTTCTTCAATCAGTGTCGTATAAGTACTATTTAGTATAGAGTGCTGGGAAATTGTGGTGGCACTTCACATGGCTATTCGTATTTGCGTATTTGACATATTTTGCAAACAATCACCATGTGTGTATGGCATGTGTGGCAAAGTATTTGCCTTGTTTGCCTATTTGACAAATTCAGCAAACACCAAACTCATTAAAGCAAGCACATCAAAGGAGCCAAATAGGCAAATACGCAAGTGAACCGTCCATACTATCAAGTCATCAAGTCATATTCAGTATTTCAGTATTTTAACACCTTATCTATTTGGCTCCATGTGAAGATATTTGTGTCTGCATGTTTGTCTGTACGTCAAATATTTTTCCAAGCACATCAAACACCTAATAGCGAATACATGTAGCCACGTGAAATGCCACCATTACATAGTATAATAAGACAAGTATAGCAACTCCGTACAAACGTAAAAGCGCGGCTTGTATTTATGCACGGCCGCAGCGTGCCGAGTACGGACGCGCACATTCGCACAACCTCGAGTTGCATAGAGCTCGTTGGTCGTCTCACGCGCCTTTCATTATTAATGCGAATGTGTGCGTCCTTGCACGGCGCGGCATACGAGGCACGCTGCCTCGTTTGTATGGAGTTCCCATTTGTCTTATTTTACTATGTTTCATTACCACGGTACGACTTCTTACAGAGATACACGTAAAAATACAATTGAATCTTCAAGGTTCTGTCTCCTTTGTATCTCGATACCTCCAATGAACACTACGCCAACTTTATTTTTTGGTCATTTTCTGTTATTTTTGTAAACAGCTACATTTATTTACTAATGTTATGCTCCTCGGATATTGTTAAAAAAAAGTAAAGAAACAAAAACAAAATTGGAAAAAAAACAATAAAACGAATTTTGTGAAAAAAGGAAACAAATAATAAAATAAAAACGGAACAGGTCTAACCATTAAGATGGCCTAATGTTCACTGGAGGTATCGAGCTATAGTATTTGTGTCTAACATTAGGTAATGTAAACTTTACGCAAGTCGTTTCTATCTTATAGAGAAACAGATTATTAATCATAGATCAATCAATTATCTTGAAAATTTTAAGGTTTCTAAGTTAGGCATCTAATTCGTAAAACTACTTAAAGATCAATAAAAATGTCTAATGAAATTTAAAGTACGTACCTAAAGGAAACGGAAAAGGCACAAAGCCCTTTTGTTATTTTAAATTATCCATGCTGGCAGAAATGGCTCATAATTCTTATGAGAGGCCATAAATCGTTCAAGCTAGGGTTTAAAGCGGATGTGTTAGGCGATATCGTTTGCGAAAGCTGAATAAATTCAGGTTCAATTACAGACGTAAACAGAAATCCTGTTTATTTTGTTTGCGTCAAGTTTATTAATATACGTTGATAGTCATTTCCGCTTTGGGAGAGGCAGAATTTCGGATATCTATGCCGACTTCAGTTCGTTGCTTTTTTTAAAATTAATAATATCACTAGGATTCGCTCTGGACCTTTTGGAGGGAAAAGTTTCGTTTTTATTTTGATTTTCAATTATTTTGGAGATTCGCTCTGGACCTTTTGGAGGGAAAAGTGTCGTTTTTATTTTGACTTTCAATTATTTTGTGAAATCTAGTTTAAAGTGAAATAGGATAGTGCTATTGTACCTTAATCGAAGATTAAAACGCGAAATTATACGAATCTCGAACTAAAATACCCGAATTGGCTCGTTTTAAGGAATCCCGAGTCAATCCAAAGCACGCCGCCTCAAATTGCCTATCCTCTTTGTGGCGGCCATATTTACAGAAACATAAAAACTTCATGTTTAGGCTGATGGCTTTGCCAAAGCCTTAATAAATAAAATAAATAATATCACTAGACTTCTTTGCTCTTCTTCGATACATAGGGTGCTAAAGCAAATCAAAAATTATTTGTCTCTCACATCGAGTTTAGCTATCCTTTTTCAAATTCAATCCGTATTGTAGACAATGTTCGTCTCTTTATAGATTGCTGCATAGTTTATTCAGTATAGGCTGCATTTCGATGGTTTGTATCATCCATGTTGATTGATTATCGACGGGAATTGTTTTCATCTTGTCACGGTTAGACTCCAGAGGACTTCATATCTGCCATATTTCATGCACGCTAGATCAGATACTTTTCCTTTATTTTTCTTATTTTAATTACCTCTATTGTGTCACAAACAATTACGGTTTGTGGGACTTATCTAGAAGCATAAGTATTTTTTAAGTCAATATCAACTCTACTTCTGTTCCAGGTATATCGATGCAAGTATTCGCAATTTTGAACGGCCGCATCTCGCCGTACATTCTCGACCCAAATTTCTCTCACACACTGCCCGTGATACCGTCAGAGGTTGGATACGTTAACTTCACGTGGCGATCGCGGAAGCGATATTATTATGACTTCGACACGCTCACGTCCTCTGATCCGAAGATCTTGCAGCCGCCTGTACTTTCTATTAAAACACAGGGTCGGGTGCCTAAAACTTCTAAAGGTAACATTGTTTATAGTATTTACATTAAGAATAAATCACAACTTGAAAATGTTTCTATAAAACTACTAAATAACCCATTACTAAAGCACTTAAAACCACGATCACCGTAATTTCAAATTCGATTTTCATTCATTCAAATCGATAACTCCAACGCCAACATAATTTTTGGACCTGTTTTGTTTTTATTTTGTTTTTGTTTCTAATTTTGTTTCGTTTTTTTCTAATTTTGTTTTTTTATTACTTTATTTTTTTATAATAATATATAAAATAAAGTTGGCGTAGTGTTCATTGGAGGTATCGTAATATTAGCCGTACTTTTAGTTGTAGATGGAGTTCTTAGTTTTTTGCGATTGTTGAAACTGTTTTTCGGATCTAAAATAAGCATAAGTACATGTATTCACGTCAGCCGCGACCATAACACGTGTGAAGAGCCCGATAATTACATTTTGATTTCCATTACCTCTTCATTCGAGATCACTAAATTGTAGAGCCAAACTAATCAAGGTTTTATTCACAGAATTCAGTATATTCCTGCCCTGTGTGGGCAACAGTAGTGGCGTAGCTACATTAGAAATAGGCCTAGTGCTCAAGAACGGTCGGAAAGTTCCGTTGAAAGGCACCCCTCTAAGGTTAAACCTAAAGAAGGAGTGCGCGCAGAGAGGTGTGTATTTAGAAAGGACAGGTATTGTATCGCCAACGCATTTTTAACACTTACACCGCCCGTGGTTTTGAAGTTTTGTCTCGATTACCTCATCCTTACATCGTAGACCGTAATACTGCGTAAATTTTAAAGTATCTTACAATTTACAGCGTACCTAAATGTCAGTTGTAAGAGACTTTGGTTAAATATAAAAGACTTGAAAGAACATAAAATTCTGCATAAAATATGATGTTTATAAATTTTAAGTGTCAATAATCGTTGCAAACGACTTCAGCACCACAGGCGCCATGCTTTTTTAGTTGTTTTGTTTTTCTTTGTATTCCCTCTAAGAAACATAACAGTACCGGTTTCTAGATTCCAGTCCAATTCTTATTACCCCAAAGTCTCATAAAGCTTATTAATTGAACATGCCAGATATACGAGAATAGAAGAACACTTGTGTGTTCAAAAGCACTAAAACATTGCATTTCATCTATTTTGAGCTCAAATTGTTTGCTTACGCTACTAATAATACATTTAGTGGTCGGTACGAGCCATCTATATGTTACTATTCCACGTCACGAGTGTTCGTCTTGTTAAACAAAGCAGCGATTGCCGATTTATTGGTCATTGTTTTATGATTCGTTCGGTTTATATTATGTTCTTAACCTTTAGTTAACACAATGGTCACGTACACTTGAAAGTAACGAACGAAAAGCTGTCAAATATTTTTTCCTTAAACCACCCTGTCGGTAAAACAAAATCCCCTGACCACTACAACAGAAATCACATTAATAAGGACAAGAGGACATAAAGCTTGACATTTGTACTTTGAGACGTTTTTATCGGAAGTTTCATAAAGTTGAATTTCAATCTTAAGTGTCAAATTTGAAGTTCTCTTGACAGTATACGTCAAAACTGAAATATAATATTCGGGTGTCCTAAGAATTCTAACCAACAAAATCTTCTAAAAAAAAAAAAAAAAAAGGTTACATTTATATTCTTTCGCAATAGCTTTTTTAATTTACTAAATTATCCAATCTGCGCCACTTATTTGAGCCACTGAAACATAACTACAAGCATGTAGAAATTGAAACCATTTATTGCAACGCCACGTTATTAAAAAAATAACACAAAAAACAGCGTAGCAAACATTTAAACAATAACAGCTCTTACTATGTAACTTAATACTACACAGGCCGTCTCACGGCCACACGGAGGGAAAGTACCTTAAATACTGTAGATAGAAAATTTAACGGAAAGAAGACTTCATTTTGATTTTAAAAAACAATTCATTTTAAATACTAGCCTGTTTGAACCGGGAATCTAACTCGCTAAATGTGAAAAAACATACAACGTCAGGTGGAGTAAGAGGAATGTAGGGGCCAATACTACGCTATAGTGTTGACGCCTATTGTAACTTATCTATCTATCTTATATATCTTAGGTGTAGGTACAAGCTAGTTGAGGCTGTGTATCTCTTACGTTGTAGTTAAGTTAAGAGATGTCTAAATGGATTGAATGTTCGTTAAATACTAATTTAATTGCCTACTTATGAGCACAACTAAACAAACGGCCGCGGCAGTAGAATGCAAAGTAAGCGGAACAAAAATGTGCGGTTGTAAACCGTACAAGGAACACCGGGGGAAGAGCGACTAAAATCCATAATACCTAAAGTAAAGCGTTTAGCACTATAGTCTCTCAGTCGATGAAACAGACAAATAAATTAGTTTTAACGGTTGTAAAGAGATGTCGCTACGCTGTTCCAAATTTGAGAGAAAGAGAAAAAAATTGACAGTTGTGTAGTCTGAAAACACGAGATGGGCGCGTAATTTTTTTCTTTGCTGGATCTTGGTAAGTTTTACTTTTTATTAGTTATTTCAGTCCAAAGACAACAAATTATACGAGTTTCATTGGAATCAAAATTCTAACCGCCAAAAACATTGTTGGGGTAAGAGGGTCTAGTACTTACGGGGTAAGAGAAACATTATGTTCCCCTTCCCCCGTGTCAGGGGTGACAAACTTTTTGATGAATTGTCATAATATTGTCCTATTCGAACAAACACATAATATATAAGGATATACATATATACATACTTTTAAGAACTTAAGTTAATTTTTTTCAAATAACTAAAATTTATAACCTTTGAGTACAATTCGAATTGTTTTTAAAATTAAAATGAAGTCTTTTTTCAGCAACATTTTCTATGTATGGTATTTAAGGTACTTTCCCTCCATGTGTTAAGCGTAAGCGTAGAGACCACAAATGTTACATAAGTGACGTAATTATACTTAATGGCGAATAAAATTTGTATTTCAATAAATCAAACTTAGAATCTATTAATAAGTGTATATGGCAATTTCTGCATTGTTTGCCGAACTAATGTGTGCCAAAGCCTGTCGAATACAGCCAGGCGGTGTTATGTTAACTGCATATGCGTTGTTTCCGGGCCTATCGCCGAGAACGCCGAATGGCGCGATTCACGGTGCCTCTGCTCACAGCATTTGCGTTTTTAGGTTGGTACGCTTGCTTTTCAAACTTTTAATTATTATAACTTTTTCATTATTATAACAACATTTTTAGGCAATAGCGCGCAATAGGCTAGCTGATTCTCCATTAAAAGCTTGATGTAAAAAAAACATTATTTGTAAAATAAAATAAATATACGTTAACTACATAACGTGATGGTTATTACGGAAAGTTATTTACGTAATATTTGAAATCTATTTTTTTCAGTGTAAACTTCAATTTAAATTCGATTAAAAAAAAATCTAAGTCTACTAGCCTATTGTGGAGGACAGAAAAGACTTGCTTTACATGCCCATCAACATGTGTCTTTACATAGCATGTCTTTTATCTTTTCGATTGTTTGATTTTTCTTGAATATTTTAATATAATATCGTACCTATAATATGTACATATGTATAGTGTTAGGATAATCGAATAAAAACCGGAATAATTTAAGTTTTTTGCAGTTTACTCAAAACTTCAGTTATTCAATAGAAATAAGTATTCCATGCCAATTACGATACGGCCACTAACATTTTTTTTACGGCCGCTAACCTAATGTAACCTAACCATGATGAACAAAATTATTCAGGCCCAGATCCAGAATGCGATAAAAAATGTGCTAATCAAGGGTGGTGCAATCATGAGAAAATTTGCCAATGCCCAGAAGGGTACATGGGGCAGCACTGCCGCACGGCGCTGTGCTACCCGGCTTGTATGAATGGGGGGAACTGTACAGCGCCTGGAGTCTGCTCCTGCCCCCCTGGTTATCAAGGGAATTGCGAAGGAGGTACGTATCATACTTTTAATAGTCAAAATCTTACGCAAAAATTTATAAAGAAAATATTATTATTTTCCAAAACAAATGAATACAGGCATCGAGTATATAATCAGAAGTAGAGACGAAATAAGGGCCATACATTCATCACTTAAGGACTATCCACACACATCAGGGCCGTGACCGAGACGTGGACGGGACGTGCACGGGACGTGGACGAGACGTGCCCGGGACGTGGACGGGGCGTGCTAATTTGTATGAACTGCGGGCCCGTCCCGGCGCCCGGCCCGGACACGGATATGTGTGGACGAGTTCATGCAACAACTGACTGTGTACGTCTCCGTATATTCCAAAAATATTCTGTATTTATTGTAATAAAGATAATATCTCTAACAATAGCGTGCTGTTCCATTCAGTGGTGTGGGGAAAAACAGCAAAACATCTAATTACAAACGGAATCAAATTTCATCGGGAATTATAGTAATTAAATATGTAATTTTGCAATTTTCGTCCATTATAGCAAAGCTCAAGTTAACTGGTCGATTTGAAGTGAAATAATTGACGACACCCGTCAATTGTTTCGAATTCGGGCTGGCCAATCGGAGCGCAGTTGTCACCGTAATAAGTTTTCAAATAAATCAAATTACACTTTGTGTCTATTTCTGGTTATGTACTCGATAAATACAGGTCATCCGGGTTAATTACCGGGTTAATATATTAGTTATTTTTAAGCACTAACCAAGATTGTACCGAAATTATAACTTGACATGCCAGGAAATTTCATGAACTAGATCCTCAGCTGGTAAAACAAAATTAGTTGTTCACTGATTCTGACGGCTTAATTTCCTCATAGCAACAAGTTTTTATACACGACCTAGACGCTTCATAAAACTACTGCAGTAAGTTTTACTAGCTATCCTCTTATTTTCATAAGACAGAATTAATTTATTCTTTCTAACGTTGAAATCATAAGACAACACAACGCCCGTATGGCATCGCTCTAAACTAGAACGACATGCCACACAGTGCGTTGAAACGGCGCGTCATCGCAAGCAACTTGGTACATGAAATTAGTACGTTTGCGACGATGCAAGGCCCGTGTGGCATCGCCCTAACATAATACAGTATAACCTCAAATGAAACAAATGCAAATATATTAAATACGAGTTTATTGTAAAAATAGTAAACTATCTACATCTGGCGTTAATATTAAATTTTCTTGGAGACAGCAATGGCCACCTTGCAGCCTGCCTTAATCACTTCCGTCAAAGCTTGGTAGAACGGCGCCTGAAATGCATGCGCATATTCAAATTCCTAATAAAAATCTTCAAGGGTCAAAGTTATTGATTTAGGCTGCTAACACATTGACTGCAAGTTTGCAGTTATTGCGTGAAGTCGTAATCAACTTGACTCAGTAACTGTGTGCAGTCGATCTCGGCTGCATGACGTTGAGTCGGTTTCAACTGCGTGAAGTCGTTATCCGAGACCTCGAATGCATGAAGTGGATAACGACTTCACGTATTAAACTTCATTTAGTCGAAACCGACTTCATGCAGCCGAGATCGGCTGCTTGCAGTTAATGCGTGATATCGTAAAGTTCATTGTTTAGTAGCTTGGTTATTAACACTTGAGAAATGATACTTAAAATAAAATTTTAGTACATTGTGAAGTTTCCAATTTCTTCTACTGCAAACATGACCGTGAATTTCTAAAGGTATTATTATCTACACAATAGGTTCATGCTTTCGTACGTCACAATACCAAGTTTCAAAAGTATTTTTATAGTTTTCAATTTGTACTATTTGGAATTTTGGTGTCCGAACTTCGAAGGATTCAAAAATTTGTTTCTAACGCTTGTTAAATATTTTCCATTTTATTCTAATATAAAATAGACGTGCGCTTGGCTACAATCTCAAATAAACATCAAATTTAGTTTTCGGGATACCCGCATCAAGTTCACGGCGCATAAACGCGCGTCGTCGGCGCGTTTAAAATACGTCGTGTGCATAGGCTATAACTGTTGGATACTTAAATATTCAACACTAAATTTTTCTGGAAAATTTTTTGAAAAATTTTATTAATTCGGCAATATTATGTTCCACGTTTACAAAAATCGTTTAAAGCGAAAAAAGAATCATAGGTAAAAAAATCTTATTATTGGCTCCATAGACCTATGGTCGGCTCCATCGTTTTAGTTCAGATCTTCAATGTTCGACAGGTGCCAACTGTCAAATGTGGAAAAATTCAGGGAAAATATTCGGAAAAATATTAATTTTAAAAGTATGAATTTAAAAAAATTTAATTTTAGAGACCCAACACTATACTGCAAGACAAAGATTTTCCACTATACTGCAAGACACAAAGGGGATGATTTGTTTAAAGCACCTTACTCTTTTATACTTTTAGAATTATAGATTAATTTTAAAAGCAAGCCCAAATACCTGCTCAGCGCCATGATTAATTCCAGTATCATGATGCTCCTGTTCCTCATCTCTAAACTTTGTGATGGTCTGCAAGATATCTTTGTCCACGTTAGGATCTTCCATTAGAGTACGAAGCTGATCATTATAGTGATCGACGATCACTGTTTCTACTGCTACTGTGCACGCCATCGCAGCTTCTTTACCTAATAGTGCTGTGCCTAGAAGGACATAAAGTTACGTGTTTAAATTTAACGTAAGATCCAATTTCAAAGTGAATGTTGTGACCCACATATCATTAGGAATCGTGGTCACCACAGATCGGCAGTGACAGCTATTGACAGACTTTCCAAACTAAATAGAATTTGGTCCCGAAAAAAAAGGTTCGACGTTTTGTTATACACAGTAGCTCGATGACTAGCGATGCATTTAATCTTACTAATACTAATCATTCTAATGGACAAATCATTCGCCTAAGTAACATCCAAGCACAATCATTCGACTCGATATGTCGAATGATAGTGATGGTCGAATGAATATTAAGTCGAAAACTACTCGGAACTGTTCATCATGTCCATATCAAAACACCCCGTTTATAGTCCCGAGTAATAGGTAGAAATGCTCTATGAAATCTATGGATTAATAAAGATAATTCAGAATAGGAAAATTAATATATTATAATTTGTCAGTCGAATGACAGGACTAGCAATTACTAACGAGTCGAAAATAGAAATCATTCGCAGTCGCACATCGCTACCAATGACGTAACTTGACAAGTTTCGGGATTGGGTTAACTTTTATATTGTGGCATTGATTCCAGATATTACAGATTTGTAAATTCTTTCACGTATCAACTTACCAGCGCCAAGCACAAATCCTGCAACATTCCAAATGGGCGTCAGTACAGTCGGTCTTACCCTGTACTTATTGATAAGAGATTCGAACTTCTCTCTATGTATCTTCTCTTGGTCCCACATGTGCTGGATCGTGGGACCTTCGGCTGTCCGGCCGAGGACCGCGTACTGCCCTGCGTAAATGCGATCAGCACCCAATTCGCCTGCGTGGTCTACACGTATTATTTGGTCTAGCTGTTAATAGAGAGATACGAAAACTTACTATCTTAAATTTTTTGGTACAAGTTGTGTTTATACTTTGGTAGCTCATTAATCGGCCTGGTATTATCATACCACACTTGTCGAATTAAGACGATTAGCCATCTAAGGCCGCTAACAGATTGACCACATGTTTGCAATTAAAGCGTGAAGTCATAATCAAATTCATGCAGCTGAGACCACGACATCATGAAGTTGATAACAACTTCACGCATTAACATTAACTGGAAACATGCAGTCAATTCGTTGGCAGCCTAGGCCATCTTTAGTCGTTGACGTCGTCATTCGATTGTCGAAACCGTTCAGCTACTGCGTCGGCGCCGCGCTGTAATGTTGCGATCAGAAATTCAGCAGGAAGCCGATTCTTCATTGCCGGTCTGTGTTAAATCGTGACGGCAAGCATATTATAATGTATGTCATTACATACTATTAACAAAAACTCGCGTCATCCGTGTTGAATCGTAAAGAACGACGCCATTTTCGCTCATACTGCAACATACAGTTGTCTGACCGGCCTAATGCGATACCGCGGGGATAAGTGTTGTGATTCCCTTACGGGTCAACGCAGACAAGACTGTCTTTATTGCCGGCCTGTCACTTCGGAGCTCGTTGCGAATTAATATGGAATTTTAAAAAATCCGCGGAGAAAAAAATGAGAAAGTGACGGCCCAAAATTCTAATATTTGATTTTCCTTCCTCTTCAATATTAAATTACTTACTTTTGGATTTTTCTTCCATGTCGCAGAATGGTTTCGTCTAACTTGGTATAAAAGTCTCGGCGGTGGACGTATCATCTTCGTTCGCGAATTCTCGCTTACCCTGTAAACATAAGAATACACATAATTTATTTTTTTTAAATAAGACAATAATAGAGATGTTCTTATTACAGGAATATGTTCACAGAAATGTCTGAACGGTGGAAAATGCATACAAAAAGACACTTGTGAATGTCCCAAAGGGTATTACGGACTGCGATGTGAATTTTGTAAGTAAAGGTGTACATTATTTTAGATAAATAAATAAGACATGGATCTCCGTATAATGCACATACGTATATTAAAGAAGTACATATATTTTCATAAATTAATTAGTATTCCATAGCTTCATTGTAACCTTTTTTGGCATGACTTCCTTAACGTTCGAATACGCTTAATATGAAAACTAATTTACATTTTTAAGTTTATTAATTATTATTCAATAACGATCACGAGACACGATGTTTTCATATATAAATTTCTTTTTGTGAAATTACTACACTAGTTTGTTATAATTATTACAACAAGGATCGAAACACTTACAAAAATTGATGCGATCGGATACGAACCAGCACCTTCAGGCAATCCGTATCAGATGCTCTGCCAATTAAGCACTCTGTTTTAAATTAATTTAGATTTTTTCTTATCTAATTTAAATTTAAAATGGTGTATAAAGTGTTATCTTGTTTATCTGATCTACAGCAAAATGCGTAATCCCCTGCCTGAACGGCGGGCGCTGCAAGGGGGTGAACAAATGCCGTTGCCCAGCCGGTCTAGGCGGCAACCACTGCGAAGTGGCACGGCGCGGCGGCGGCGACTGCCCGCGCGCATGCAGGCACGGGACCTGCATTGCCGGCGCGTGTGTCTGCGAGCCCGGCTGGCGGGGAAGGGCTTGCCACCGCCTGGCTTATGGTACGGATAGTGGTATGGATTCACAAGATTGATTTGTATGTTTGTGTTGTTACACCCTGGACTACGGCCTACCTCGCTTTAAGGGAGACACATTCTCTGCATTGGGACGGTGGGTGATAACGTTAGATTAGTATGGACGTGTATGAGGTGGGTAATAAACGTTAGATTAGTATGGATGTGTATGAGGTGGGTGATAACTTTAGATTAGTAGGGACGTGTATGAGGTGGGTGATAACTTTAGATTAGTAGGGACGTGTATGAGGTGGGTGATAACTTTAGATTAGTAGGGACATGTATGAGGTGGTGATAACGTTAGACTAGTAGGGACGCGTATGAGGTGGGTAATAAAGTTAGATTAATAGGGACATATTTATGAGGTGGGTGATAAAGTTAGATTAATAGGGACATATTTATGAGGTGGGTGATAAAGTTAGATTAGTAGGGACGTATATAAAGTGGATGATAACGTTGGATTAGTAAAACGTATATAAAGATTCAAGTTCTTAGGTTTAAGCGATTGTTATACGTAGGAAATGAAACTATTTTTTCGAATCTAATTCGCGTAGATGTATTTGTTTTTTCAAACAAACCCAGGTTTCGGGGCCTTTACAGGTCCCATGGTCACGGCTAACTGGGGCATGGAACCTGTAAATGTCCTAAAACATTGGTTATTTACGCGATTTAGTCCGAAATAATTACAACTTGTTTATAAAAAAACACCGATCTCAAAAGTTCATGGTATTACATCTATTTGCCAAGTTTTATTGAGATCAGTTCCCGGAACTTTCCGGGAAAATAGATACATCCCCTAGCTTACCACCACTAGACGTTGAATATTTTCTTCAAATTTAAATGAGGCCAATACTGAGGTACCCTCTTTCCAACAAAAAAAGAATCATCAAAATCGGTTCTTAAATCCGGAGTAATCGCGTAACATACTCAAAAAATACAGTCGAATACCTCCTCCTTTTTTGGAGTCGGTTAAAAATAGTTTCATTTCTTATGGCCCATTTACAAGGGACCAATTGACGAGCCATTCCACAGAGTCTCCAGACTAGTGATAAAGACCAGCCACAAAATTAGAACAATTTCTAATTTTTGGGCCAGTACCTTCTCCCACCACATGTGCATTGAATTGGTTCATGTAATGGTCTTGTGTGGACATGCATCCTGAGCCACTCCACTTGTTTAGTAAAGAATCTTATACAAACTTATTGTAATACTGGCTGTAGTGTAGATGGACGTTGCAAATTTCGCACTTTTCACTAGACTAGCTTAATGGCTTTGTGGAATGGCTCGTCAATTGGCCTTGTGTAAATGGGCCATTATGTCCAGTCACTTACTTTTAAAAATAAAATTATGTCTCCTAAAGCAAAATGTCCTATATACAATATTAAAAAAAGTACTTTCACTTCGTGTCCCATAGCCGTGAGACGCCTGACTTTTGGGTTATAATTGTTCTATGTGGAACTGAGTAAATATACAACTACTGGGAATAAAAGGTTCATAACATTCTGGGCATGTACCGAAGATATACGTAGTTTCAAAGAGAAACAACGCATTCTACTATTTCTTTTCATATTTACAGGATCCTCAGAAGAATCAGGCGAACTGAAAAGGCCTCGATGAGACAAACTACTTACTGACGATGTGATTTTCTTCTATAGATATTACAATTAATATTAAATTAGTCATTTAGATATAAGCTATGTCATTTAGTTACGAGATAAATGTACAATTATGCAATATGATTGATAAGAGATTATAATTCTAGTTTTGTAAAATGATTTTTGTTTTATTTTCTTTAAAATTGTTGCAATAAGTCATTTTCCATTCAATAGGTACCTAACTACTACTAAGTAAGTCATGTTTAGAGCTTTAATTTCGGTCTTGAAAAGTTCTTGACGATATTTTTGGCATTTTTAAGACTCGAGATTGAATCCTCCTGGATCCACTAGTGGATCTGTCGAAACTTGAGACTTAAGTCATTTAATTAAACAGTAACAAAAATATACAAATCCAAGGGTATTTTTATTCTGTCTAAATGGACATGGCAACATTGTAGAGTGGTGCTTAATAAATAATCGGTCGTGATTGAAGAACAATAGCAATAATACAAGTCTTGTATTGTTTCTTATGCGCTCAGTAAAAATTAAAAGAAATCAGGAAGTTTTGGAAAGGGTTGGGGAGGAGATAAGTCTTTTGAGCATAATAGAGAGGAGAAGGGGGAAAATGTTTGGTCATTTGTTACATTATGACGAATTTGTGAGAGTGCTCTTTGAAGGGAGGATAGAAGGGAAAAGAAAGGAAAACCAAGATTGGCGTATAGTGAACAAATTATGATGAAAAATGAAAACATTTCATAATTATTTTTTTTATGAACTTGATTAAAATATTATGTTTGGACAGCCTAAGTTTGGCCTATAAGTGTGGAAACTTATTTTTGAAATAATCTCGGAAGTATCGCTTTTCCCGGGATTTTCAAGACCGCGTCGAGTCTCGATTTTTTTCCAGTGACGCGAAAAAGCAGTGAGACAGAATGCCCTAGTCATGTTATAAGGAGTCTTTGCAATCAGCCCTAGTTTGCCACCCTTAGAGGTGTAATATTTCCTTCAAATTTAAATGGGAACCAATACTGAGGTACCCTGAGGTATGACGGTTCACAAATCACAATCACAAATCGCGTAACATTCTTACAAAAAAAGCCGAATTGAAAACCTCCTCCTTTTCATGAAGTCGGTTAAAAATAAAAAATATTTCAAATTTAAAGACACTTCCCTTAAAATGTCGATTATTGGTGCCATCAGCTTACAACTAAAATGGAATTGTGGGTGGGTATGCATTATTGGAATTGTGGAGTTCTGCCAGTACCTCCAATGTAGAAATTCTTCAGCATTTCCAAATAGTGTACTAAAGACCTTAGTCCAATCACTTTGGTTTGTAAGAGTCTAGGATATACATGACTATCTAGAAAAAGTATGTATAAGTCACGACAATCACTGCATATAAATATCTAGGCAAGATCTTTGATTGACAAAAATTGTCTAGGTGGCTAGAGTCATTTGAATAAACAAAGAACTGGAAAGTTGAATCAGTAGAACACAATCAGCTGAGTAATGACTAAAGAAGAAAAGCCCCACAAGACTCTTCACACCCTACTAATAACTACTTCAAAATTATAGCACAGATCTGTTCATGATTCAAAGAGTGATTCTGATAAGTTACAGAATAATAATTATTAATATAAAAATTTAATACAGAAAATACCTTCTATCCGGCCAAGTTCGAAAAGATGAATTTTGACATTCAATAAAAAATTTATTACAGTTAATAGCGACATCTCTAGCCGGGGCTGGTAGCTGTAAAGGTACCTAACCGGGTGACGAAATTACTTTCATAGATTTCTCATAGATGGTGCCACAGCTAAAAAAATCGTTGAAAAACCAAAAACAAAGATCTGACAACAAGCACAGAAAAATCAATGTAAGGTCTGTTGGTTTGTTCCGTGGCTTAGTTGGCATAGCGTCTGGCAGTTTGTTAGCAGAAAGTGTTCGATCTTTGTATTAATAATTACAACAAACTATTGGAGTAATTTCACAAAAAAATAATTGAATATCATGTTGGTGAAACATTCTGACGTTCAATAAAAATTTAATTACAAAATAAAAAAATTTCAAAAAATTCTATTGAACAACTGCTTGTAGAATCTAGAGAATATTCAAATAAATATTTAAATTTTTATGTAAGGGACTCCTTTTAAGGAAATCGGATATGAGTTCCATAATGTTTAATATAATGAATAAAGTCACCTAATAAAATTTCAGTCTCATTTATTTTTATATCCATAATTTATATCTATAATTTTTACAAGTCTTCAATTAGCGCCGCAAAAAAAACTGCGCAAGGCTATACAAGATATTAAAATGAAAATGAAAGAGCCAATAAAAGAACATGAGAAGAACACTAAAAACAGTTTAATGGAATTAACAGTGATAAAATTCTAACCTATTATAATTATTCACGGCAACTGTGGTAGTATTATTTACATAATAGTAGTTCTATTTCAACTTTCTAGTTTACAATATTGATGAAAATGAACAAAGCGAAATACTGTTTCATAATTTGCGCCTTATTATATTTCTTTGCAATGAAACGTTTACTCACATTATACAATATTGAAAGTATTTCACAAAAACACTCAACAATAGGTTATGAAAATGGTCACAATATTTACAACAAAATGTTCCTATGTTTTCTGAAGGACCTTTTTCTTCGAAAAAAATTGTTTTCACTATTGTTTACAAAACTTATGTCAAAATCCTGTCAAAATATTTTTCGGAAATTGTTGTAGATGGCGCCACTAGTTGACGTGATCAAATGTTTTCGAAAATAAACTTGGGCGATTTCCTCCACGCCCAACAAACAGGGCTTTAAACTAAAACAAGAATATTATTCTACTGGGAATTTTGGTGAGTACGATAAGATAAATAAGCCATTTTCTACTCACCGAAGCAAAATTTCAGCCCCCCCGCAAACCGAGGGGCAATTTCCCTTTCCATATGAAAATCCCACCGCGCAGACTCGTACAAAATGGCGTCTCGTCGAGTGAAGTTCATTCGATTCTCGTATCGCGTTTGCCGATCGATAATAATGGAGGATTTGCGTTTTTCGGGGTCTTTACTGTCCTGTGCTAATTTTGTGAATGCAGTGTCCGGTTGAGTCTAAAAGGTCTGAAAAAGTGTTGTCTCGAATCGGTTACATCACAGCGGATTCGCGAGGCTTCTGATAAGACCGCAAGATGAGTTTCCAATCACGCAGGTGCGTACGCAGCCGTAGTCTTTCTGTTCTATCTGGGCCTGCTCGAACGCGCGACTCCCCTTCATGATGGTCATTCATTTCGGCTTATCCTTTACGCCGCCGCAAAAGAGTTTGTGTCATTTGTCCTGAATTTTGCCTTGCAACGGCGCGACGCAGCGCAGATGCATCTAAACATAAACACGGAACAAAATGCGCATTCCTAGCTCGTACAAGGGATATTTAGCGCTATTAATACGTTAGGATTTTTAGGTAAAAGCTATAAAAGCTGGAACAGCTTAAATTTTAAGGCCACTTAATTGTTTTGGTGAATATTTAGTTTGTCTCAATATAGGTTTGTAGGTGGATTTATTTCTCTTATTCTAGTCGGTGTGGTAAGCTCGAGTATTGATTTTTCGGTCTGTGTTAGCTGCCTACACAATGGAATAGCCAACCATAACTACTTCATATATTTGGGGAGTAAATACAATGATTCTGCTGTTTTTCATTTTTTAATGGGGTGTCTTCCAACTTTACTAGAATGATGTTTGCCTATGTATGGCTTTTGGCAATACGCTAAATGTTAAATATTCACCAAAATAATGTCAGTTGCCTAAATAGATATATATTCACTTTGTAAGTAAGTATAATGATCATGTAGATGTCTTCTTGCGTATGTACTTGTATCTGAAATTCTGAGCAATTTCGAGTGTTATAGTGAAACCTAAGTGCCTAGGCCATGTATGACATGAAAATGCAATTAGGAAACTAAAAAGTTCTGTAAGGACTTTGTATTATGAAACACCGATTGCCAGTTAAGGCATATTATTTCACAGTATTGAATTATCTTATTAGAAATTCTATTATAAAAACTACAATTAAACATTGTTGGTAGTATTGATTATCTAGTGTAGGATCTGAATTTATGTATGTATGCAAATTAAAACACTTCTGTAATATCTTTGAATAAAACGGACTGATGTCAATCAGTCAGTTTCAATCAATCAGGATGGTATGATGTGCCAATTTGATGATAAATATTGTTTTAAATTGACACAAGGCTCTATAATTGAAATTTTTTTAATACACTCACTCATAAACCCGCAGGAGGAAAATCCTGTATCGCGGGTGCTATTGACACACACATACACAACCACAAATTACACTCAAACTCACGAGAGAAATAAATTTAGGCCATACAAATACTTCTCCCAGCCCAGGAATCAAACCAGTGACTTCTGCATGGCAGACCGACATGGTAACCATTTGGGCATGAAGGCAGTGACTTTTTATTACACAGCTGCTTAATATAAAATTAATATTTTAATAGATACAAAAGCTGTACATCTTAGTTCTTTCTTGGCTCCGTCTGCATGTTGTTTGTGAACTATAAAAGGACAGTAAGGGCCATTTGGGAAACTATGGCCTAAACCCTCGCCTGAGAGGAGACCCTTGCCCAGCAGTGGGACGCTTAAATGGGTTCAGACTACACATTTTTGTTCGAAAATCGCCTCTAGTGCAACGGAACAAGATACGTCAATGTGTAGCTTGATGTGCTGGCGTGTGTACCTTCTCATGTGATGTGAGACCCATTAATTAATTGTAATTATATACTTTCTTTAGGCAGTAAGAAGTACAAGTGAGAAAAGTTCCTAAACAATCATTGAGTGAGAAGTGAATTAAGTACCAATGGTGCTAGAGACCAACGGGCAAGAGCAGGAGAAAACAGACTATACCATCATGAACTCTGCAGTCAGCAGTGAGTCCATGGACATGCCGGATGAGGTAGGTTTCATTTGAATGCATGTCACATGTTATAGTGTCGTATACAGTTTTCAGTACAGGCATTATATATATGATAAATTCATTCAAATTGCTTAATGCAATGATGACGTGCCAGAGTCTATATACTAATTATTTACCTGACCTTAAGCTAGGGAATTCCGAAAAGATCTGAACACCCTGACCTGAAGTAATTTAGAAAAGTTCATTTCCCATATTGGTCCTGCCGCAAATCGAACTCGGAACCTAGTGCTTTCTGTGTTAACCGCTGCGCCGTTAAGGTCCTCAAATTGTATTTAGTATCGACTTCTTAATGTGGCTATCCATTACGCTCGCGCACCGACTATCCTCCGTACATCTGCAACCGCTCTAATGGAGACGTTACACGCATCACTGCAAGAAAACCAAGTGCTCCATGACTGCTTCGCGCATGCGACTCCACATTTTTCATTTGAACATTGAGCGAACATGTCCCCAGAATCAGTAGCTAGAGTGCGGCATACATTTTCATTGATTATGTTTTTCACGTTGCTTGCAATGTTGCATGGAAACATATCCACTAATGGAGCAGTTGCAGGTGCGCGAACGTAATGGATATCACCCACCTTCAGGTTTTCGCGATTGTTACACATAGGAAATGAAACACTTTTTTTTTCAGATCTAAATCGCCTATGTTTGTTTTTTTTCGAACAAACCAACGTTTCGGGCCTTTTACAGGACTCCAAGTCTGCTAATTTTAAATCATATTAGATGTGTGTCAATGGCAGGATTTTGTACATTTTATATTCTGCTAAAAGGTTAGAGTAATGGCTTGGCAATGTCTAGCCATCGAGCTGCTATTCAACTACCATTGCAATTTTTTGGTATTCTGGGGGCCTACCACAACCTCTTAAAACAATATTACTTTAACCTTACATTGACTTTTCGTACCATAACGCGCCTAACGTAAGCTTATTGTAATGTTAAAACTATGATGTTTTATTGACAGCTTTGTGACTATTCATTCACTCAGTTCGTACTATGACGCGACTTTAACATTAAAGTAATATTGCTCTTATGTCAAATTTAGCAATCTTAGAATAGTTACTCTGACGCAGTGGAAACAATATTATTTTCGAATTTAATGTCTAAATATTGATTTGTAATGATTAAAAGTTAAGTTGGATTTATTAATTTACATAAATCTCTATATTTTGTTTCTTTTTTATTTAATAGTACATAGGAAAAGGATGATTTCTCGTTAAATAAAAATACGCGATGTTTAATTCGTAAAATTATGACAACGACATCTATATGTATGCTCCTTGACGACACTAACAGTTGACACCAGACTATAATTCCGAATTCACAACGTGACTGTCAAGACTCAGCTTGTTTTATTTATTTTTCTTCATGAAAATGCGGAAAAATAATTGAAAACAACATACTTTTAATAGATTTTGTTATTATATACTTTTCTTTTTTTAACTGTTAAAATTCTCTGAATGTGAATAACAAAGTACTTAAACATTATAAGACGATGCGGAAAAAAAGAAAGAGATGGCATTACATATATAGTTCATGTAGCGTTATTTCTTTCCTATTTTTATTAAGGGATAGACAATATTGGGAAATCATTCGTTCTTTCAATCACTTTAGCAATAATACACTACTTGGTTGACAGGTTTGTCATGGTACGAATATGAATAATATTATAATAAGATTACATTGAAATAAGATTGTTTTTGGATAGGTTATGGTAGACTCCCTGCTCTTCTATGACTAGTCGATAGCACGTCGATGACGTAGTGTATTAATATTATTTACTCATAATATTTAATTTGAATTTTAAATCATAGACACCCAACTGCCATTGCAATTAGAGTTTAACAGAATAGCAAATATTATCATAATTACAATATCATTTCAATGACCAGTGCTTTCAACGGTGTTGAGTAGCCGTGGAGATAATTTTCTTCTGATTGTAGCACATTATTTCCAATACAAGGCGATCATGGTGTTGGCAGTTGAAAAATAAAACCATGTGCATTTCCACAGGATATGTCCCAAGTGGACGGGTGTGGGCTGAGCGGTGCGTCAGACGATGAAGATGACTGCGGCTCGTCGGCGGCGGGGTCTTCGTACGACGAGCCCGCGGACATAGTCAAGACAGCTATGAGCGACGAGGTCACCAAACAACTGGCTGCAGCTGGTGTGTATTCCACATTACAGTAACCTGGACACATTGTCATAATCACCACGGATGTTCAGAATGAAGCTGCCGTCCAATAAATATGACCCAGGCCCTGTACTCTCTTTCTCCGTCCGAAGGAATAACTGTCAAATAAGTAATACACGACTAAATCAAAAGACGCATGAGGCAAACGAAGCTTCGTACTTGACATTGTCGAGTATTGCTTATTTGACAGAAATTGTTTCGGACGGACCCCACATACTGCTGTCATCCAGTTCCTGATATCTACAACTGAATAACAAAGTACACATTTATATTTTTTGGAGCTAAAATATATTATATACGTGGTTATTTGTAAAACACAACCTTGTAGGACTATATCTGTGGCTCTAGTAAAAAAAGGGGTACAAGTAAAAAATAGCGAACTTTACAAGGAAACATGAAAAAACACTTAATGCTTAATATCATATTAAGCTTTAACTGTTTTTCGTCTCCTTGTGAAGTTGTCTTTTTTTACTTGTACCCCTTTTCACTAGAGCCACAGACATTACTAACATCGTAAACAATAACTTGTTCCATGGCTTTTTACAATAGACAATAAATTAACCAAAAATAAATTTAAGTTTTTATAGGTCTGTCTGACACTTTAGATCTGTACCTGGTAGTAATTACAAACATGCAATGGACTTCCCCAACAGACTACCCGCACTCGTGCGTTTTACACAGTTGTCACCATTTAGAACGATCTATTTAAATATTCTTATTTTTGTATGAAAGTAAAATCAGATGAATTATTAAAAGTCATGGAACAAAAGTTAATAGTTTTACACAATTTTCACATTCACACGCACACATTATCATAACTACGCACTTTTTCTGTTTAGTTGTTTTTGTATAATAAAAATGTGGTTTATTATAAATATACAATTGTTAAAAATATTAATCTGTGTAGCCTGTAAAGCACAGTTTATGCTAAGTACACAGATACTGGAGATACGTTACATTTGACAATTTTGTCTCATTGGATATTTTTACTGTTGAGGATTAGAAGGAAATTGGGGTCAAAATATAAACAGTTAAAAATGTGTTACACGAAGTCTTACAAAAAGGGAAAAAAGAACGAAGTGCAAAGACAAAAGATATAGACCAATTAGAAAATCGTTCGTAAAAAAGGTCTTAAACATCCGCTATCCGGCCGGATATTGTTCTACTATGCGATATCCGGCCGGATAGTGAAAATAGGCCGGATACCGGATAGTTAGCGGACATCCGTTTCATGTCTAAAATGTTCTCACAATGATATTCTTCATGTTTGCAATAAATTTTGTAAACTTTAATAATGTAAAGAACTAATTTAAAACATAAATTTTTAGGGTTTTCAATTTATTTACAAAAAATCTTAAGAATGTTCTTGCTTTTTCATTTTGTATCAATAATGAGCACACTCATGTGCATGATTATTAACAACCTCGGAGGCTCATTGCTTAGCAATATACGCTAAGAATTTTGTTTAAACTAGCTTTTCTAAATTAGCATGGGTGTTCTGGAATTATTTTGTGCCCTGGAGTTAATTTAATTACGCTGGTATTCATAGTACTGGGAATCCCCTAATTTGACACCACATAATTGGTATGATTGTCTGGCACTATTGTTATTAAATTACAAAAGCGTGATAGTTTCACACAATTGCTTGTAGTATATATAGACTATATTCATAGTCTTAACTGTAACATGTGAAGCGTATTGCTTGGTTAGCAATTAAGTTTTTATTTTATTTTAAACATTTTATTTTAAATTACATTATTTTGTCACTTATATTCTAGAGACCGAACTGTAAACATGTCTCTTTAAATCTACATATTTCACCATATCATTTACGTTTGATAATATGAGAGTTACGAAATACATTTTTTTCTTAGGGGTATACATCAATTGTAGTAGTTCAAGTGATTTGGCTGATATTATGCAACGTCAGCACTAGCCCATGTGACGCATGGGTGCAATCCACGCGATCAACGTGGAATATTTACAGTAACGTGTTGCCTAATTATCGGAAATTCTGGTGGAATTGGTGCGGTTACAAATTTTCCGGGTTTTCGCTACACCAGTGCTCTCGGATCGAATGCGCTCGTACGAGTTATCGTATAGCAGTCCACTTGGATTTCGATTTACACCTTACAAGTTCATCAGCGTCCGGGTAGCAGTTGTTTCCTTGAACAACCAAGATGACGAAGACTGATATGCTGTTGCGAGGTGGAGGAGTTGCATCAGATATTTTAACGGGTGAAGTACAAACTCATGAAAGGGAAAAAACAAAGCAAGAGAAAATTTTGGACCAGAAAATGGATTTTAAGGCATGACTAATCGAGTCCTTCAAAATAATTTTGTCGGCGAAGTGGAAAGAAAGATAAAAACACGTTTAAAATCCTTTATTGTCACGTTAATTCCATTTTTTCTTAGCTGGCGCCATTTTGTTTTTCGTTAAATGATCCGAGTATACTCGCAAGAATAGAACCGTGTCCGAGTCCACACTGATTCAATTTATTGAGTTCAAATTATTATCTTGCTTTGTTTTTTCCCTTTCATGAGTTTGTATTTCAGCCATTAACAATTCGTATACCTCGCAGCAACAGATCAGTTGTCGTCATGTTGATTGTTCAAGGAAACAAATGGACGCTAATGAACTTGTAAGGTGTAAACCGAATTCCGAGTGGAGGACTCCTAATGACTAGCTCGTACGAGCGCACTAGGTCCGAGAGCACTCGTATAGTGAAAACTAGGCTTTACAGAAATACCCCCACCCAACGTCTTCAGTGGAACAGAAATAGCAAAGATAGCCGAAATCTGCGTAGGACAATTTCTCCTTCGGCCGACTACAAAGTCCAGAATTCTCTTAATTTTTTTATAATGTGAAGTGACGGGACGGGCAAGCCTGTCCATAACAGTGACAATGTCACTCAAAGTTTTAAATCACATTGATCTGAGGGGCACTGCCACTGCGCACGTCACCCTGAGACATAAGTTGAGAAATCCCATGTGCCTGTAATTTCACCAGCACCCTTACCCTTCAAAATCAGAACACGGTAGAAATATGTAAGATGGCAGTACTTCCCTGGACGAACTCTTCCACAAGGAGCTCTATTGCAACTAGATCTCTGCTTATGTCTCTGCTTTGCTTTCTTCTTCCGAATACATTCGGCAAAGACATGGAGCACACCACCGGCATGTTTTTCGGCCCGAAAACTAAGTCGAGTAGGCATTTTTTTGACAAACGCGTACTAACATCGTCTATCACTCTGTGAAAATTATAATTTGTGAAATAATAAGCAACATTGTTTTGTTGAAAAACGTCGAGTGTTACTTGAGCACCAAGGTTATAACGTAATCGTGACGCGTAAGTCCTCGTTTCAGACTCGTGCTTTACTTGTCAACTCATTTGAAACAACCTACTTTCCGCCCTAGTAATACAATGTAGTATTGTATTTCGTACTTTGTCGCATGTCACGAAGAAGGGAAAAATACAGCAGTGGTATATGCCATCTGGAGTTTTTAACACTGCATAAGTCATATTCCTGCGATGGCTTAGGGTTCCCACTAGTTCTATTGAGAGAATTAGTGAGAAAAAATAATCGGAGTAGTTATCGCGTAACATACACAAAAAAATACAGTCGAATTAACCTCCACCTTTTTTAAAAGTCGGTTAAAATAATTTGAAAAGGAATTACCTGATAGTGTTTATTACTTACTTGGAATGATTTTTAGTAGTTCTATTATTCTTTAAATATAATTTAATAGAACTACTGAATAGAACTAGTGGGAACGAATCGACATTAAACCCAAAATAGACGTTTTGACGTATTTCAACCACACGGAAAATCGGTTTTTCGTCATTAAAAATACAAATTCAACTTATTATGAATCACAATATTGTAATTTTGACTACATTCGTCTACTAAAAAATCTGTTATATTCGATTGTTATAAGAGATATATTTCAATGAAATCTTCTCTCACGTGTTCCGTAATAAATACTTCAGGGGACTATGAGCTTATTTAACAGTAAAAGAGTATATTTTATTGTCAAATGGAAAATGTGCAATGAATTTTTCGATGAATGTGCGCGTAAGGTGGCACTATTTCCCTGTATGAACTTTTTCACAAGGAGCTCTACTGCTCAAAATTACTACGTAATGTTCCATTTTGAAAAGGGTTTAGTAATGTAAATATTTGGCGACATAATTGTAAGATCAGTTAATGAGAAGAAGCGTTAAATGTTACTACATGTTATACAAGTGCGAGTGAAGGACGTCACTACACGAAGACACTATTTCTCACCTTATTCAAGGCTTCAGCTACCCCCAATTCCAAATGTACTGATTTTATGCTACATCAGCTTGATTTCCAATTTTTCCCGTATTAATATTGTCCATTTTGCTTGGGCCGAACGGCAGAGACACTGGCTTTATTTAAATTTTCTTTTTTTTTTTTACAAACGAATTACAGCGATTTGAAAAGTGTATACCGTATGCTATACATGTTCTGTTTAGTTCAGTTGATATAAAAAACAAAAGAAAAAACATTGATATACGTAACGTACCTTGTAAAATTTCGAAGTAAGTTTGTGTTTTTTTATCTATCGTGAAAATTTTAGGAATCGTGTTTTCACACTGTACACTAGATACGGTGTATCCTCAATTTTACTAAGTATTTTTTACAAAGTACGTGATTCAACACTTGAGAGACTCCTAAGATTAGTACATTCATATTTTTGTTGTAAGTTATGGAAAAGAGTTGAGGATTTTATTTATTATTAAATACATACACGGAATTATATATGTGCCAAACAACCACACTAATTAGATTAATTACCATGTGAGACCAAAAATAGGGAATTTCCTGTAATCTTAAATACTAGAGCAGCAACATCTCTAGGAACACTACCACACACAGATCATAACCAATTTAGAGAAGATCGTTTCCTACCGGGAACCTTGGACCACGTTAGTGCGCTAACCACTGGGCCAGAGGTTGTCCTTTCATTGTATCAAATCAACATTAGCATTCACAAACTACCAAGGAGCCATGTCATCTGCTTTCACTTCTAGTGATTTAAATAAATAGCAAAACGTGTTATAGGCCCTGTGGGTATGGCTGCAGCAGCAGCTATAGCGTCCTCGAAAAAGCGCAAGCGACCGCACGCGTTTGAGACCAACCCATCGGTTCGCAAGCGCCACCAGAACCGCCTGCTTAGGAAACTTAGAGTAAGTATACTTTTTTGAAGTTTTTTTTATCAAAGCTGCTGGATTATAATGCACTGCAAGATTTTTTATTTATATCATCTCACACTCCCTTTATTTCTTTATAAGTTAGTTAGTTTGTTTTTTGGCGAGTAGGTAATTACTAAGTGTTGCGAAAATGTATATAATATAGTTAGTAGTTATATAGTTATAATTTAATGCTCATTAATCAACTTAATGTGTGCCTATCGGTGAGGACCTATATTTGACTCTCCATTATTATTTCAGTTTTTACTCTGTAAGATAGCCGTTGGTCCTGTAGTAATTTGGCCTGCTTTGTACCAGACTAGAATTATAAATTTCTCAAACGCCTAAGGTTGATTTTGACCTACCTCACTCGAAAAGGCAAATAAATCTATCGATTCACTTTATGACGCTGAATAAGCCTCAAAAATATCTATTTGTTTATTGTATTTCCACACGGGCCTAATGCGGGTACCGTTTTCAACATACAGGTTTCAAAACAATTTTTTTTCGCCTTAACCGAGCGGTGTTGCTTCTACACGTTATTTGCTGCCACGGGTACTCGATACGTCGGTCTCTCCATTGAGTAGCTACCATTCTCCTACTGGGCTACTACCGTTTTGACTTACTCAAACCAATTATCTATCTAATATATATCGCAGACAAGAGAAGTTGTTGAAGTATAAAACAAACTTGACCCCTTACTTCGCGTATCAGAAAAAAAAATGTGTGTTTAGAAAATGAAACTGTTTCGACTCATCCGAAGAACAAAGTCCGATGTGATTATTAGCAAAAAGGGAATAAGTACGTTAAAAGAATAATTTCGTTATTCAAACTAAGGCCTATGTGAAGGTGTTTTGAGAATTTATGTATCTTATTTCGTTTCGGAAATATAAAATATAGAATCGATCTGACATCCACAGCGAAGAAGAACGAACGAAATGTACTATGTCCTGAAAACAAGTAGACTTGCACATAGATCGTTGTTCTACGGATGAGTTGATTTATCGTGTATATTTTTTGTTTTTTTTTTTTTATAGAAATCAATGTTTCAAGTTTTGTGTTTAAAAACACTCTTACTTCTTAACAGTCAACATATGGTGTTTCTGTAATTTATTCTTTGCTATGGACATACTAACATTATTTCTATCCAATAGCAAACCATAGAAGAATTCGCAACCCGTGTAGGACAACAAGCAGTGGTTCTGGTGGCCACCCCCGGGAAGCCTAACACGTCGTATCGCGTGTTCGGCGCCAAGCCGCTCGAGGACGTCGTCAGGAACCTTCGGTGCATGATCATGGAGGAACTGGAGAACGCCCTCGCTCAGCAGGTTAGATCATCTTTTTTGTTCAATCGTCAAAGGGTTATGAAAATTCGAGCAAACGGTATTTCTGGAAAATGTCATTTCGTTTTTCTGATAGGTAACCCTTTTCCCTATATCATGACTCCTTACTAACATTTAGGCAAATTTTTCGAGGGAAAGTATTTTCGTGTTAGCATTGTGACGATGCGACCACTTTCATCGTCATACCACCTTTTTCTCTGGTTCCTGGCCACTTATTTTTGAAATTTTGTATTGTTTCTTTTTCTTTGTCATTCTTTCATTCTTTTTCATTCTTCGTTCCATTGTCTCTTCCATGA